CGGGGGGGGGCCCAATTTTTCCCCCCCGTTTTTTTTTAGGATGTGTTCAAGACTGGGGGAATTGTTGCCCCCATCCAGGTTTTACGATGGGTTTTTTTTGGGGGGGGGGGGCCATTTTCCCGGGTTCCATTGTGTGGCCCCCCCCCCCCCCCCCTGCACGCATGTTTTGCTTGTTTTGTTTCGTGTGGGGTCTGAGCAGTTCACCCAGTAAATAGAGGATAAAGGGGTCGGGGCCTACACATGGACAGAGAATGGCGGCGCACCAACGCCTCATCTACGTCACCAAGGGGACAGGGGATCCAGTGACTGGGATCCCCCACCTGCATCACGGAGAAAGACACAGGGACAGGGGATGGCGGCGCATGGACACGCCTCATCCATATCACAACTATCACAGTTACAGCTATGTTTTTTTGTTTTTTTTTTGGTTTTTTGTCAGTTTTCGGATCAAAACCTCGTGGAGGTGTATACCGTCTGGTAGGCACGGTGAGCACCCGCGGCGGATCGAGGTGGGACAAGCGCGAGAAGACATCGCCAACAGGATGAGGCGCTAGAAGTAAGGCCATGGTTTCGGCGCTCGGAGCGCTAGGTTAGGATGCCTTGTGCCTCTAGACTAACAATAGAGCACTCACGACCGACGTGATACGTAAGCAGTTGGGACGTTGCAGTCGGGGTCTTCGCCGCAAACGCTTTCTAGAAGCCCTTTGGATGAAGGGGGGCGTTACCTGTAACAGTTGTTTTGCCTTGTGCAACAGCAGGAGGCTGTTGTGAGGGTGGAGCAGTAGTGCTCGAAGCTCTCGTTGTCTTCTCTTAGACAAAACGAAGTACATACTTGTTTGAGGGCATCTTCTATGCACGACTTTACGTTTGTAGGGTCGGAAGGATATATCGTTGACATTTTAGAGAGGTAGGGATCACAGTCCATAGAGAACGGAGAAAGTCTGTGCTACGCACGCGTGGCCTGCAGGAAGCTATAACTTGCTCGTTTTCATCGTCAACTGCTTTTATCTCTCGTGTCTTATTATTTCTTGGCCGCCAGCGTATGGGGGAAGTCAGGAGCACCCCCCCCCCAAGGTCCAGGGCACAAAGCCCAAGTACAGTACCTCCTTCTGTGTTCGATCTCGAACGCTGAGCGCCTCGGGAGACCATGCTTTGAGAATCCTGATCTAACACTTCGAGATCACGAGTCAAATGTTGGCTCCCGCTGCGCGATTCCTCTATCCCTCGTGACCGAAGGGCAGGAAGTCCAAAGGGCATAAGCCCTCTACTTGGAACGGCACGGTGAAGTTCAAACCCAGCCCTGAATGTACTTGTGTCCCGGGCTACGCATTCCGTACACGCTCCATGTTGCTGTCTAGCCATGGCCGGCGATCTATTCATTGACCATCTGCCGGTGTGCCGACGAGATAATAAGGGTCCAGGTCATGATCTACTTGTCTTGGCTCTTTTCTTGTTGTTTGTGCATGTTGGCGCAAGGGTTATTGATACCTCTACCCCCCCCCGCGCTTAATATTCCTCAATATCTCGCGTGTATGTACACAGACATCAGCACCTAACGACGTCCTTTTGTCATGAGAGAAACGGGCAACGTCGTTCGTTGGCTCACCGAATGTTCCGACCCCTGATCGGCTACTCAAATAACTCTTCTTCCTCTCGCGCGAGCAATCACAGCAATTGCCACCACGCTATGCGTTGCCCCCTCCTCCGTCCGAGCAGTCGGCCGCATTTTCGGCAGCATCCTCACCAACCAGCACATACAGTAGCGCCTGCACTTAGTTAACAACCTGGCAGCACTATTGTATACAAAAACGTACGTGCTTGGGCACCATTTGTGAGCCCGGTAAAGGACCCCTACACTCAAATATTGAAGTCTTTTTCATCTTAAACCTAGAAACGAAGATTTCCAGCCAGCCAAAACCAGAGGATTAACTAGCGGGAGCTAATCTGTAGATGCCGAACCCTCCACGGTTTCTTGGCTCTCGGACTTGTGGTCCCTGTGAACGGTAGACACACCCGACAGTTCCACGCGCGGAAAACACACACACGGCAGGAACACGAGGTGGGCGAGAATCACCTCTGTTTGGAGCACTCGATCGTATACAATCCGTTGTGTTCCAAATCGTCTTGTGAAGTTTGTGTCGTGTGTCGAGTGTGGCGAAGAAATTTCCAAGGCCTTGTCCGAGAAAAAACTTCCTAAATAGTGGATATCGTCATGGCTGGGTGCGCTTCTTCAGTAGAGCTACGTGGCCCCGTGGCACATACGAGAAATGCGCGCAATAAGTAGATTCAGAGAGAGGTTTGTACAAGAGGAGGAGGCTTAGTCTAGGCCACAAAAACATCGGCGAGAACACCGAAAATGTCTCAAAAGGTGAAACAATCAACGTTCACGCACCTCTCCCTGTCTCTGCCTCTGTGACCGATGTGCTTGAGGGCCTGACAGGCGTCCCTCCGGATGTTTTCTCGCTCGGAACGGCTCAGCCGCAACAGCTGGGACAAACCGCCCGCATCCACCAATACCCGGCTGGTTTTAGGACACACAAACGGGTGAAATCAGGAGGGGAATTGCGGCTGGAGGAGGGGTGGGAGGCGTTAGAATTCATCAAACATGAGCAAGTGTTCTTTTGCGCTCAGAGAGAGGGTGGTGGCTGTCGGTGCACCCGGGAGGGTCAGGGGAGGAAGGTGGAAGGAGAAGAGAAAGCGGATGGTACCGCCTTGACTGGAGATATGAAAACACCGCCGAAGAGGGCAAACAAGATTGATTACTGATCTTCAAGGTCCCCGGAGATGGGAGATAACTGGCATGAGAACTCAAGTTCCGCTTTTACCCGTTGCTCCAGATTATTATCGTTGTGCACGACAACAAGAAAAGGTCGAAAACGATACAGAGATACCGAGTCCCAGCGGCCGTGCGAGTGTTGCTCAACCCGTAACGACGGATTTAGGTGTCATTCGATGACAATTCATGAATCAGACAATGCGTATATCGCCGACGACGAACGTCAGAGAAATGAGCCGGCACAATGTCGACCGACAGGTCCTACCCAATACATCGCACGCAGCCACAAGGAAATATCAAGCGGCTTCTTTCGCGGGTAGGCTGCATCCCACCACGGCTTGCTTATGCTCACCCGGCGCCTTCGAGCTTCGTGATTTGTCGGATTGCGGCGACGGCGGACTCTAGGATCGGACACGCCTCTTCCTGCGGCGGAGCCTCCGGGCCTGTGGCGTGGGCGATAGCAGCAACCAGGAGATCTACGCACCCTCCCCGCACGAGGGGTGACCTCCACTCCGACAGAAGAGAAAACTTGCACGAAAGGGGTCGAGCATCCATGACAAGAGGAAGCGATAAGGATTAAACAGCCATACCACTAGAACCCCAGCAATTGCAATACCAGCTTGGGGCGCGGTAGTTGTGGTCCTGAGCCGGTTATTCGTTGTCTCGACGGGCGTAAGCAATCCGGCGTCTGGAGGGAGCCAATTGGCGTTGCTGGCGGCGATGTGTTCACCCACGTTGATATTGCAAGCAATATATCACTGTCTGTCGGTGGCTTCTTCTCGCAGGCAGCCGGCGAGACACAAAAGGATACGAACTGGGCGCTCTCCGGCGTCGAGGCTCATGATGATGTCTCTTAGCACGATCTCGAGTTAGCGACAGCCCGTGTACAGCCACTGGCTCAGGTCATGGGTCGAATGAAGGCTAGCTTTGTTTCGGTTTACCTGGTGCAAGACGAAGGCGGCGGGCTGCACGTGCTCCTGCACGGCGGCAAGCATGAGCACCTCGCCGAGGACCTCCCGGCAGAACACCAGAGGTTTCATCTCCGAAAGAAGGCAAACCTGTGCAGAGCAGCGGCAGAGACGGTGGGATAAGGCAGAAGGCGCGGCAAGGAAAAATGATGTAAGAGTGTTTGTGTCTGCTACCACCACCCCCCTGTGCATGTCCGGCGGCACCGCCGTGGTGGTGGTGGTCCGGTCGCTCTTCGCGGTAAGTTGTTTGTAGCGACGGGGGGCGAACGGGCATGAGGCGTTGTATTCAGCGGATATAGGTGGCCAAGGACAAAGATGCAGGTCGGTGGGAAAATGATGCATTGCCCTTTTTGAACGCACAATTCATCGACGCAGCACAATAGCCTCACGTACGCGCGCTGACGAGAACAAGGAAGAACACTGGTTACCAAGACACTATACCAAAGCTCGGGTAGAACAAGCAACTTTTTTTTCGTCGATACATAGGGCACGCAGGCTGGGTCAAACTTCACACGCAATTATCCTTCGGACGTGTCCCTTTGCTACGGTACCGTCGTGAGCCCGTCCATCACGCACAAGCAAGAGGTACACACACGGCAACGGAGCGCACGTACCGTCGTCAGGGCGTCGAGAGCGCACTGCTGCTGCGCCGCCCGTCCCCCCCTAAGGCACCGCATGATGGCGTCAAGGGGCCCCTGTCCCACGAAGGAAAGGCGGTTCTCCTGATCACAGGCGATCACAACACGAAGCGATCGACGGTTTCAACGGCTCCCGTGGTAAGAGGATTCCTGCAATCACCAGTATCACACCTCCAGGTCCTCGAGAAAAAAATGTCAGGGGGGAACCTTGCGGGGAGATAGATACATGTCTAGGGTACCTCTCAGCGCCTCGTGCACCGAGGGTTGGCTTTTTGGTCATTTCGAAAAGACAGATCTCGTCACCGGGGCGTTGTGTTATTACCGTCCCCGTTAGCGACTGTTTCCATGAAAGAGTAATGTCCGGTGGGGAGGGCGGAGAACCACATCATAAACCACCACCACCACCACCTCCCAAAACAACAACAACAACAACAGCAGCAACAACGACAACAACAGCGATTGCACTCGATGCGTAGTGTTATTCCGGCAAGTATAAGGGAGCTCCAGGGTTTTCCATCTGAACCGGTGTCAACATGTTAGATCCTAAAATCACGTCCTCATTAGGGTAACCTCTGTAGAATGATGTTGGCTTCGTATCTAAGAAGGGTCTAGAGACGAACCTCTTCAGAACCAACCCCGGTTCACATTACTGTAGCAAGAAGTCCGCAAATCAGAGGCCGACGTCATTTGTTGTCTTCACGATAAAAAAGCCCTACCGCTCTCTGCTCAGTATCTTCTAGCATCCGCACTGGTCCGACTGACGCAGACGCCGTCTGTGGTCAGAGGCTAACTATCCCAAAACGGGCACATCGCGAAAATAAAAAATTGGCAGGAAAGAAAAGGACCTAGAATACTCAACGCAACCGTAACAATTGCCAAGGAACAGTAATCAACAGAAAAAACTTGAGCCATGCTGACATCGTGGACCAAACATCTTGAAATATCAATGCTTCTAGGCGGCAGTTTGTTGGAGTTGGGAGATGGTATACGTGGTTGGGCAAGCGTTGCAAATCGATGGTATGTGGGTTCTCCCGGAGGGAACGTTAATCACCTCTCCTTCCATGGCAACTGCGGACAGGTCGAGCACAAGCTGGCTTAGAGATCCGGTCATGTGAGGATCGTCTCCAGCCCCGATGGGCACGCTGCAACGTGCACGCGAGAGGGAAAAGAGGCCGTTAAACTCAATACTGCCACGGCGTTAGTGTAGGCTCGGGGGACGGGATGTAGACCGGCGGTGAAGCTTTGAGTGCAACCAAGCTGGCGAGCGGCTCTAGCTTGCTCTGCCAGAGCAGTCGGACGTTAGCAGTGCGCACGGGGGTTCGCGCGATCTGTTGCGGCTTGCCCTACAGCAGTCATTGGCTTGTTGCTTGCGTATTCTGGAAGAATAGTGCCGTTCCTACCCCACAGACACCGCTGGCAGGCATGCGGGAGGTCGTGGGGTTCGAGGTACAGGTTGGAGTTCACGATGTGAAGATGTGGGGGAAACGCCCACCGCGGCATGCGATCATGTTGGCGCAAGAAGCTGCGACGGATAAAACGGCGCGGCGACATCCGTGGTACTCTGTTCACGTTTCGGGGACAACATATCGTGAACAACATACGACCGCTGCTTGGCAACCAGACAGGTTGGCCAAACGTGCACGCAGCTCTGCTACTAGCACATCGGACTTGGACAAGTGGGCACAGTATACAGCAGCGTAGGGTCGACATGCGGCGGAGGTTCCCCGTGCCTGCAGACGAGACACGCCCAACCTCTCTGGGCAGGGCCTGCCAGTGGTGACACACTCGCCGCGACATGTATCCCGCGACAACAGTCAACAGCCCCCTTCCTAGCCAAGGAACTGGGGAACTGGCGGCCCTCAGCCCACTGTGGGAACCACCAAATCGATGGAGGCACGCCGCCAACTACCGGTGTATCGATAGCTCTAGTGGCGGCGACGTGCTCGCGGTGTCCAAGAACCACCAAACCGATAGAGGCGCGCCGCCAACTACCGGAATATATATATATGTGTGTAGCTTTTGTGCCGGCGCCGTACCGAGGTGTTCCCTGCGGTGTACCTGTTGATGTGAGCCAGCACCCCCGCGTGCAGGGCTCGTCTGCCGTGACCCCTCGCCGTCAGGTGCGCGAACATCGCCATGCACGTTCTCGCCACGTCCATGGCCACCTCGAGTTTTTCCTTGGTGGAACGGAGCAAGTAATAGTCAGGAGAAGGCAGGCGGGAAGGTAAGCGGAACGAGCCGTGTGGGCGTGACGGCGCCGAAAGTCCGGTATGTAACCGCTTTCGTGAGGGGATACAGGTGGTAGTCGCGAGGGGGACGCATGATGAACACACGTTTGAATTGCTTATTATGGTGCCCCAGGCCATTGAGGTGTGCTCTTGACCAACAGAATGGGTCGTGTCGGGTTACACTGTCTCAGCAGGGTCAAGACGTGGACCGAACACGGATTTTGCCGCGTTTCACCCCCCCCTCCACAGATATTGTGGTACAGACACGACGGGCCTTTTCACTCATCGCTTCGTCTCTCCCGCGTTTGGCTTCAGGCCACACGCGCACGAAAGCTCCTACTGCTTAGCCGCACACCTCGGTGAACCGCCCTTCGGCTTCCTTCCTCCGCCCCCCTGCCCCCGCCCCTGCAGACATGCCTCCGGTGGACACGATGGACTCGCAGCGCGCGCCACCTCCGCCTTTCGTGCGCGAGCTGCTCGTGGCAGCACCAGCGGCGGCGGCGGATGGAGGCGTCGCCGCAGAAGAAAAAACGCCTTCTATCTCTCGGCGCTGGCGGAGGTAGTTCTGGCATCCGTGGACGAAGGAAGCGACTTCGTTGAAGCAGAGACCCACAAGCGCCTCGAACAAGCCCTGCGTCGGTCATTGAGAATTGTTTAGTCGGCGAATCAATGAGGGGCGGTGCTGCGAGTACGATGAGATGGATGGACAAGGGACGCACATATTTTTTGGGTGTTCATGTACCGTATACGACACAAGATAACACACCCCCTGGACCACTTTTCAAAGCTCGATTGCGCCACGACGAAGAATATGCATAAAGGAAACGATACATTTTCGGAAAGCTCTCGACAAGGCGGCTTCAACGACGCCGTTTTCGGCGCGGTGACTCGCTCTGCAGTCGAGAAATCGACCTTTGAAAATCGGTTCAGGGGGTGTGCTTTCTTGTGTCGTATATGGTAACCTAGGTAAGTGATTGTTTTTTGTCTGGGGGAAAGTAGCTCGACCCGTCACGGCCCGTGACACAAACTGCAGTTGTAGCTAGAGTGCGTTGGAGAACCTGGGAGAATTGCGGGTGTTCGATAATGAAAGTTGTTACACACACCTCGTCAATGAGGCGCTTTTCACATCTGGGACTGCCCGCCATCCGTTCCAGGGCCTTAAGCATGGCCAACCTTTCAAGAACAATCAATGGTGAGGTCCCCCACAAACGATGGATATGGCTGCTGGCGATCTGGTGCTGTTGTGGTGATGGCGATGTCGTGTGTTGTTGCCTGCAGACTACAAACGTTTCGTCTTTCGTCCGATGCCACTCACTCCCTGTCATGACAAATCACCTCGGCACAGAAATGTGCTTCCGTTGTTTACCTACGCACTTCCACGAAGAACAACCAGAGTGACCCAGTATGGGCTGCGAAAATACCGTTACGCACTGCCAAGGAGCCGCACATACAAGAGATACGCCATAAAAAAAAGAAACAAATAGGGGAAGAGAGCAAGTTCGTCGTTCCGTACTAGGCATCGCTCGGAGAGTTTTTGCAACCCTTGTGTTGTCCTCTTCATGCCAGGCCCGCAACCCGCGCTCACAAGGAGAGGGTGAAAGGGAGGAGGGCAACTACACCTTGAAGGCGTTACTAACACACAATGGAGTTTTCGCACAGCGCGAACACATCGACCGCTCATACAGTGTCAAACGAATAGCTCCAGACCATCTGCTCACGGATCGTCAGTTCTCTTGTCCGTTCGCAACCAAACAAATACGATATGGAAGGATGCATACAAAATATCAAAATCTTCGCAACGGCCGCGTACGCTGTTCAAAAGCGTTTGGGGTTTTGTCATTTGGCTTCCTGTTCCCTTTACCAACTATCCGTCGACGAGTGTGGGTGTAACTGGACATGATCATCGTGGCTCGAACGTTTCGTGCTGTGCAGCCCAAAGACCACCAGCACCCGCAGAGCTATCAGAAGCGCAGTGTGAGTAAAGCTCAGACTAGAATAGACAACCCACAAAATCGCCAGAGGCGAAAGAAGCCCACGTCTTTGGTGGTTAACAGCAGCAGTGAAGCGTGCCAAGTCTCGAAATCAACAGCCCTCGTTGGAACGAACACCGCTGTACTCCTGAGGTAACAGAGTTGGTTCCTTGCACCTGTTCTGCAGCTCCAGCCTCCTCTCTGGCAGCACCCGTATCAGGTACCGCGAGAGCCCCAACTCCGCCAGCTCCGAACAAGCACCCTCGTCGCTAGAAACCTTGGTGAAGTACGCGATGCACAGAGTCTCCTGTTCGGGTAGAACGCAAAGCACCGGGCCCCACAACAACGGCAAGAAGCAGAATGGTAAAACATATCGAGCAAAATTGGGTAGGCAAGTCCATCATTTTCTTTCTCCCGCCCCATCTATTCTGAGCGCCAATCTACACTCTCTGGTGTATTCCTGGCGCAATAGACGGGGTCACATAGTATGAATTCCACCGTTTCTACTTCTGCGTTTGCCTTCAATCTACCGTTGATAAAAAATAGCGCACAAACAACACGGTAGTCGACCAGCTTGCGCCCAACGGAGAACGTAGGTCCCACTATTCCGTCAACGCATTTTGACATCACGCCCCCACTCTGCAACTTCAAGTCAATTTACAATACAATTTCCCATCGCTCTACACCCTAAGGTTCTTATCCCTGCTTGTGGCCCACCTCTTGCTCTTCCGCAGGCTCGTCTCCCTCCTCGAGAAGACACAGCAGGAAGCGGACGATGTCGGGGTCCATGAGGCTTGTCGGGGTAGTGTGAGGGCTTCTCGACAGCCCTCGCACCACTCTCGCTGCGGTCCTGGAAACACAGGGAACACGGCGTTGTAGCGCGGGACAAAACGTCGTTGGTCGTGCTTCGCGCATGAACCATACTAACGTTTTTTGTTTTTTTGCAAGGAAATCCCTTGGGCGTCGCAGCCGTAAATGGGTGATTCGAAAACCAGGGTTCTAAAGAGCTCTAAAGTCGTTCGAAGAGCTCTGAAGTCGTTCCTACGATACATCTGGCCGTAGTGTCCTCCAACACATCCGAGTGAGTCCGCTACACAAACACCGCTCTGTTCGTCGCCGCGGGAGTGCCGTTCAAAGTGTTGTAACCTACTCCGCTTTGTTGTTTTCTACGCTGGTGTTGAACTATGCATGCTCCCGCGCAAAATGCGCTGTGAAGCATTCGAGACGAGAAGTTGAGGCCTGACCTCAACACCCCCTATTCTCTTAGATGTCAATGTCGGATAATACGACATGTTTTCGCAAACCCTTCAATGAACCACATCTGCAGCACCGTCCTCAAGTTATGTCAATGTGCCCCTCTTAGAAATAAAACAAGTTGAATCAGGAATAGAATCGTACGATGTCGATTCCCCATGGGTCCTACTGCAATCCCGAGTACATGGAACTCTAGACTCGGTTTGAGTGTTTGAGTACCCCACCGTCCCGGTCCGAAATGAATTACCGAACATCACCACGGATGGAATTATATCACCACTCGCATGGTGCCAGAAACCTTCCCTCCAACCCTCAACCCCCTCCCAATCTATGTACCTGCCCTTTTCGGAACCCCCTCTCGCACACAACACGCACACAAAGCGCGCACCTTCGAAGCGACTCATCCTCGCTAGCAAGCTGCGCCACCAGGACGCGGGCGCCACCTTCGCGCACGATGGCAGGCTGCGCGGGGGGGTACGCGCAGAGCGTGTCAAGTATCTGAACCGCTGCCCTGTTTCGGTGAGGACGGGGAGGAATGTTATCAATTTGTCGCCGGTCGTCCCGCATCTCTTCTGAAGCCGGATATCACGCCTACGTCTACAGTAAACGCCTATGAATTTGGTGCAGGGGAGAAGGAAACTGAGAAAAGGTGACATCATGTGTGGACCCATTTTCCTCCTGCGATTCGATGTCCATCCGCATCAGTTAGTATTAAAAAAAAAAAACACTTCGCCCTGAGTCTCTTCTGGTATTCCTACACCTATCCAGCACCGCAGGAGGGGTGGATGGAGGGGCCTCAAGGAGAAGGAACCCTTCTGTGTGTGTGTGACCACGAATTGGAGATCCTACCCGGCAGAGATGCTGTGAGCGCCGGCAAAAAGTGATGAATGCCAATACCAGCACACCAGAACTCGAACGATGGTCAAGGTCACAGAAAACAACAACGCCAAGCTTAGAATGCACCCCTGTCGGTGTATGTATCGCGAAACTCACTGCCTGAGGGAGACTTCCTCGGCCCCTGTGAGAGCAAGGACGTTGGTCAGTCCCCCCGGGGCCTCGAGGAACCGGCTCTTGATGTCGTCCCGCCGCAGCATTCGCCGAAGACACCACGAAGCATCCTACACCGGGGGAAAGACAAAAGCCACGTCGTGCACGTATCTGAAGGCAGCAAATTGATAGACAAACTGAACGGTCGAAACCGAATGACTTTTACCCACTCCGCGTCGCCACCAAAAAGGGACAGCGGCAGCAATGCTAGCACAAGTTGGCACCGCACTTCTAAAATGGATACTGCTACAGAGCCAGAAACGGCTCCCCTTTGTTATTTTCGCTTGCCCAAGAGAAATACTAAATAATGCTATCTCCATCATGCCGGTTTCGATTGTCGCCAACACGATTCGGGCAAGCCAACTACAGCACCACGATTGTGCCGCCCTTGCATGAGTGGGAGGTGTGTTGACCTGGAGGCAGTCGGCGCTGGCCTTGCTCAGCGGTCGTTTCTTTCGGACGGAGGTGGCCTCTCTCGCGATAAGAGCCAAGACCGCGCCCAGCACGCCAGCCCTGTCTAGCACGTCAACATTGCGATCTGTTTTCACATGGAGAAATAAGAGATGGGAACAGCGACAGCAGCACACAAACGTGAGAGGCGTGCCTTGGCCCAAAAGTTAGAAAAAAGCGGGAAGACAAGAATCGCCCCACGGAGAGCTGGAAATGCACTAGAGAAGAGGCTCTTCTCCGTACAAATTAATATAGAGTCCACCACCAGAGAACGGAAATATACGAAATGCGTAGGTCCAACTCCTCGCACTTTCAGATGATTGTGTTCGGGTGTGCGACACCTACAATGCGCGTGGTTGAGGCGGGTCAAGTACACTACAGCCAAGCCCCGATGATGGCTGTGAATCCCCCGTTTAGGGCAAGTACTCCAGAACATGTGATACCAGTGCCATATTGCTCTATACTACAAGCGTGGTGGGCTGACAGCACGCGTACATTCCACTCATGTTTGCAGCTGTGTGTGGACCAACACCAAATTCGTAGCTCATACATCACTTCACACCCCAGAACGTCCTTGATTCACGAAAATCATGGTATACAACATCCGGCTAGCAAAATACCCAGGTTTTGGTCTTAGCTCCTGGTACCCTCGATACTGGTGGTCTGTCTGTCTTGGAATGTCCATGTGAAGTCTAAAACTTGAGAGAGCACGATCCATTCCTACCCCGTATCCGTCTCAGATTTGCCGCTAAGTCAGCCGGTCACCATTCATGCTGAGGGTGGCGAACGCGGACGCCGCGTCTCTGCGAGATGTGTCGAAGTCGGACCAGTACGCTAGATCTACCATGGCCTGAATCTCCTCCTGGAAATTTCCGAGATGAATTACAAAATGGCATGATGTCCGGGACAGGGATGTGGTGGGGGCGTAGTCAATATCGTTTCAAAGGAAAAATAATGTTTCGAAGCCTTAAAGGAAATCCGAAGGTTCCCGCTTATTTTCACTGAAAATGAGGCTTGATTATGTTGGCACATCGAAGACACTCGAAAGTCTTCCTGGCGCCAAATGACGGCCAGAATCGATCTCGCAGCGACAAGAAGCCCGGGGTAGAGACTCGTCTGAGACCGTGACACCGCTGGAGTAGCTGGATAGGATCGCTCTCTAGGTTTATTGCACGGCCATCGTTGGTCAGAAAATCGTCGGGGAGCCGTGCGCCATGACGTACAAGGATGGAGACAAGGGGGTTGGGACCGAAATAGTTCACATTTTGTGAAAGTCCCTGCGCAACATATGTACTCCACCACGAAAAGCAGTTAGCCCACAGGTTCTAAGCCACAGGTTGCTGAGAGATGGCGTAATGGTTGCCTTTGGATACTCGTCCATAACTCCGTCGAAAATCGAAGCTGCTACTGTTCGGAGAGTTGCTTGAAAAACCATCAAGCCGCTGCAAAATCCTCTCCCTTTCGACCAGACCCTGGCCAAAGGACACCTAAATTTACCCCAGTAGCTGTAAGGCATCCAGGCTGCTGAGAGGCGGTGTACAAGCAGCCTTATGTTACTGCCCGAAACGACCAAACACACTACCAGACAGCTGTTGCGGTTTGCAGGGTTGCTCCGACAATTGTGTTGCGGAAATAGTTCGTCGAATCTACCTGCTGAAAATCCATCCCACCATTTGGAAATGTTATCATGGCACGACATTTTCACGGTACCGTACACTCCATGGTTTGTAAGGCACCCGAGCAGCTACGAGGCGGTGCACAGGGCTCCTTCTGTTACCCTCTCTGGGCGTCTCCACTGCAAAAAGCTTGTTGCACCCAAAGAGGCCGCCCACCGTACAACACCGTTGCAACGCGGAGATGTGTTGAAAAGCAGCCGTTTTGCTACCATTTCCTAAACAAACCGTGTTCGGTGTACATCAACACCTCCTTGTTTGCTCGGCCTTCGAAATTGCGAAGGAGTTGAGCGGTTCCAATTACGACAAAGAGCCCCGTTGAAATGACCGTTAATCGTTTTGGTGTATAGAAAAAGTAAATGCCACAAAAGAAACACTACCCGCCTTGAGATCGCAACCCGCACCAAGAGATTTGATTTACTCTTTTTAACACGAGTGTTGGGGGAAAATTTTGGATAGTGAACTTGTTTGAGTCTGTTTGAGTGTGTCCAAAAGTGTACTGTGAGAAAGCACTGATGTCAGCCCAGCGGAAACAAAAAACATATATTGAGAAGGTACTTTTACGTTTTTCTCTGCACTTTGGTTACTTCTTGTGCAGACCACCCGTTCGAGATACTGCCCCGTTCGAAGGTACGTGTTCGAATAAGTCTACAGCAGTGAGGGTTGAGAGACATCTGCTAGAAACTGGACTTCGTGCATCGCCGAGGGAATCCCACGAAGACCTCGTCGCGTCTGACAAAACTCCCAGCGTAAACTGGCGATACAATGAACTTAAGAACCTCTTATGGCCGAGCCTCGTTTCCTGTTTCGTCTATGGGGTACCCCCCCGGCGGCTATATAGGTTTAGTGTGACTATCTAGGTTTTTAGGGTAGGATTCTTGGCTGAGCACATGTCCTTGTGTCCAAGTTCTTAGACTTTGGATTTGTTTAATGCTCAAGTCCTGTAACTGCTAAGTTCTTAAGTGGTGGCACGTTCTTGTATAGCGCGTTGGCGCCTTCGTGATGCCTTCAGAAGATGCGCGTCACGTCAAGAGAAGGACTACCTCTCCGAGATCGGAGGCTAAGAGGAGTGCAGAGTTCAGCGGAAGGCGAAAGGTTCGGGCCGCATCAGAGTAGGACCGCCCGTTCACGACCTTCCACGATGGATGCCTTATGAATTCCTACAGGTGGCCGTTGCTTTTAGTCAAAAACCTATGTACTAACGTGTGAGAGACACATATGTATTGCTTAGTGGCGGCCGGTCACCGTGATTGGTTTTGACATTTGATTTTGACATTGATTTTCAGAAAAAACAATGTGGGTTCGTCTTCCAGAGATTGGGGGCTGAGTTGCCGTCCAAACTCCGTGGGTGAAAAGTGGTGGCGAACAGCGTGATGATCAAACGGGGAACCTTGCAGGGCAATCGCCTGGGCGTCAACAGCAGTGAAACTGAGACAGCTGGCAACGATTGGCCAGACATACATGGACAGCGATTTCCAAAATGCTATGGAAAAAAGAGAGATAAAAGCGCCCTCTTAGAGAGCAGCGCCTCTTAGATAGCATCGAACCACTCTCCTTCGGCTATGGATCAACCCGTTCACCCCTTGAGATAGAATCACGTAGCAGCTACGGACAAATACGAGTGCAAAAGTGTTCCCTATCAACATAACGAGTTTGAATTGCTTCAACAGATGATTCCCCGTGTATGTGCACTTGACTCTTGCCCGCATATGCATATACACGATTCAATCGTGAGAGAGTAGGGCCGCCCTTACACGGCCTTCCACAGATGGATTCCTTACAATTTCCTGCAGGTGGTCATTTTTGTTTTTTTCTCGTCAAATCCCAGGTACCATGTACCGAACGTGTGTGATGATGGCCAATATATATGGTTTCGTGGCAGCCTCTCAACGTCATTGGTTTTGACATGATGCGTTCGGTGGTTAGTCTTGCAGTACAGTAGTGGTCCCGATATGGTGGCATGTAGTGGCAAGAGGAAAATATGCCACTATTCAGGGCAATGCCACTATATCGGAAAATAAGCTTTGATGCTTCCGCTACGGACAGTTGTTCCTTTGGATCTTCACTCGTATGTATGCATTGTACATGTATCCAGGGTCCGCCCTCTTTTGTTGTGTGCACCAGTATCCGCGTGAAAACAAACGCAGGCGTCTGCCCATCACGTGTGCGTTGACACTTGATCGTCTTGTGACAACGAGGCCTTTGGCGATCACACCCTACCTTTGTGTGCAGGCGGACTGCACACACAAAGTACCACTATCTTTTTTTGTGTTGTCTGGCCACCCATGATGGGGTCCAACACAAGCAAAACACGCATCCATGTTGAAACATCAATGTACGCGAAACCAACTGGAACAACCAAGTTGAAAACGCTGAACAATCCCTACTCCGGCGCAACAATCCCAACCGTCACGATGCTTTTGCACCTGTAGGCGTCAACCGACCTATCAATACCACTACAGTATACCCAACTGCGTGACGGTCTAGCGGCGTGTGCTGCGAAGAATGCCATGTTTGCCTTACGGAGGAAATGCCCGGCCTCGCCAATGCCACACGACTCCGCGTACTCTTCTAGAGGACCAAAAATCCCAGACAGTTCCGCGAACGATGGCGGCGCCTTCATCCCTCCACCTCTCTCACTCTCAGAACCTTCGGTGTTGTCTAGCTCTACCTCGTTGTCACAAAATGTGTCCTCTTGACGTACATGTTGCCCACGTTCGACAAAAAAATCTCCCTTGCGTCTTTGGACAGAGCTTGCGATGAAAAACACGGAGGCTCCGGCGTTTTGAATTGCCACTATTGGGGGGGTGAGATGCCCGAAATGCCACTATTGAGGGCCCCGTCCTCAATAGTGGTACAATACCACTATATCGGGTTGAGATTGTGACAAAAGATTTTGATGCCACTATTGAGGGCATTTCACTATTCAGGGTGCCACTATATCGGGACCACCACTGTATGCTATAGTCTAGACTGGTTGGCGGTCTATCTTCGTTGAATTCGACTTGTACATACAGTCTACAGGTCAGTAGTCTAACGTGATCAATCAACGTGGTTGGTTTCCAAGTTGCAGTTGTGCATGCACAGTCTAGGCGGCAGAGTTCACATTACATGAGTGTGTACAGCAAACATCGCCCAGGGTTCATGGACGTTTTGATGACCCTACTCCCACCTGATGACCCTACTCCCACCTTCGTCAAGTCCTTCATGACGTGCCGACGAACCACGGGCTTTGCCAACGTCGCCGTACGCTCTCGTTGCTGAGCAACCTTCGTTCGAGACTGGCCATACCGCTTCGACAGCGAGCCCGAAGCATCCGCAGCTGAACAATCGGCACCCCTAGGAGTCAGCTCCAACGCCGTGGCTAAGCTCTCTGCCATATCTCCCTCTCTCGCAGCACACTTTGCCCCTCCCTATATCTGGCCGCTGTCGTCACCCTCCTCCCTCCTCCCTCCTCGCTCTATTTTGCGGCATGATGTATACCGGTTCGGCATCAGTTTCTTGAAATCCCGCCGCGTACTTCCGCGTACGCCTGTATGTAAAACAGGGAATCAGGGAAACACCGACAGCAGGTAGCAGATAGGCAGCCACTTGGTAGAGTAGAAGGAGGAAATCCATGCGCGATGTCGATGGATGTACGATTGGGCTCATATTAGCCGATTGCCGCTCATATCATGGATAGGAGGAACAACACCAATCACGCCAAGGTTTGGCCGGCGTTCGAAACCGGGTAAGTTCAATGGGCTCGCACCCCAGCCACTGCTGCCGCCATCGCGACTGACTGGGTACTTCACGAGTACGGGACGTGACGCGAGCATTATCTTATATTCCGGTTGTTTGTCATGGCTCCGAGGCTTGCTTTCTTCTTTAGGCCCCACCTCGACTTTCTCGCCGTCCACAACCAGCTACAAAAGCACCAGAGGCATGTGTGGGCAAGTACATCATCTCAGATCACCGGGCATCCTCTACTTTGTCTCGATTTCCTAGCAAATCTTACGAACCAAACGCAGCGTGGTACGGAATATACAGCAAGCAAGCGGCGTGGGGGTCAATTGTTAGTGTTTTACCTCTTGACACCGACACAGAACGCCAAACCCGGCCTGTTGATTTGCGTGGGTGTTATGGTGACAAGGATCGATGAGCTCTGGCATGTACCCATCCGCTACGCGTGTGTGCGCGTGTGTGAAGCATGCGACTACATATGAACGGATGCGTGCTGACTGTTTCCCTAGTTCGCGGAGGCTGTAAATATAAGCAGGGAGAGAGAGTAACCCAGGACAGCAGTGGGGCTTTCAGTGGACATGAGCTGGGAACAATATCACACCAACACCGTTGCCGCTCAACGCACGGTGTGTCACACTGCCGATCTATCAGCCAGGATGATGACATATTCAAGGAGGTCGACTTCGGCAACGAGGCAAACTTTGGAATCGAGTCTGATATGGATTCGGATGACGATGCCATATTCTCCAGGGTCGATTTCGACGAATTCGGTTCCCTTTTGAAATCCCGAGAGGTAGGTTGGCTGTCAGGACAAAAGTGTTAATGCTGTCCTCCGCACGTGTTTTTGGAGAGATGGTACGTTCGTGCCACCAGCATTTTTCTGCAATGTGCACTAGATATATATGATGTAATCAACGCAGCGGCTGCATTGTTAACGGTAGCGGCCTCTCCAGCATGCTTCAAACGGCCTACGATGTGGAGAGTGTCCCTTGAAACGTTCCACATAACTTAGCGCATGCATTGGTGTTCTCATCCCTGTGCAGTCTAGAACCTTTATCTTTCGGACGGGGTTGGGAGAAGTAATAGGTGCTCCGTATGCTGGACTAAGAAACACGAACGCGATATCTAACTTTACAAAGCGTGCCAATAATCAGCACCAGGCATCATTTTGAGAACCCGATCAAGCAGCACGTTATGGAACATAGGAACGTGCTTGGCGCTTTGATCGAGCAGGTGACTGTCAGCCACCAGAACGTGTCGAAATACCTTCATCCTCTGGTGGAATCAAAAGCGCTAACCTACTTTGTTGAAATGGAGGCGGCTGAGTGCGACCTACATACGCCACCCTCCAGGCAACATTTCTCGGAAAAAACACAAAACCATGTACCGCACAACCTCCGCTCATGTTGCCCGCGTGTTGACTGCCACCGTGTGTCGATATCAAGAGCTGCTGCATTTGCCGACCTTCTCTTGCGGCATGCCCGGCCTCGGGGAACTTGCAAGCAGGTAGTAGGCAAGCGGCAAGGCGCTGACAGTACTTCTCCGCGGGAGGGCGGTGGTAAGGGACGAGGGCAGGCGCGAAGGGGGAGAGGGGGCGGTTCAACCCATTCAGAGGACAGCACTGATGACGATGACCATGCCGAAGTCGTGTTTGGGCAGGTGTGCGCCGCATTTATGAGCCATGAAAGTGACAGGGGAACGAAAAGAGAAATACGTTCGTGCATGTGGCGCTTTGTGGGCGTCTCCTGCCCTCCATAGTGTCCTATTTGCGGGTGCGTATTGAGTAGAAAAAAGTAGGGAGGGTGAAATGCAACGTTGCCGTTTTATAAAAAGCGAACAAGTTTGTAATTCCAAGGAAAAGCCCGCTGGGGAGCATGCTGCCGATGGCGCCAGTTTCAACAATAACACAGTCTAACCTTCCACCAATTTGCCTACTGTATCTCAAGCAGCAGTCAACTCTGAAACATATTCCTAAGAAATACCTAGCTGTCGCTACAACGAGCGACAGCTGATAGATGTAACTGTCGTCAGACGTGTGCGTCCACGGGCGGAAACAGAGAGCAAACACCACACACTTTGATATTACACCTACCTGCTGTGCGCTGGTGTGAGAGCTGTGGTAACGTTAGCTTTCACCTACCGTTTACCCCCCCCCCCCCTGTCCACATCTCGCTTTCGTGGTCATACCCGCCGCATACTAGTGTTGAACCCCCTGTTCCCTCTTTTTTTGTTCGATATTTTTCCAACTGCCAGCGAAACAGCAGGACACAAGTCAGTTCTCGTCACCTAGCGCACCAATCGTCATGGCACCACTTCGAGCGTGTGCTCCATTGCGATATCTCGGGGCGTGACAGTTGTGATAGGCATGGGTGCTGTGTGTGGGAAGACCTTCGTGGCGGCGTGGAATCCAATCCGTTTTTTTGGCCCGGGCAATCGGGCCGCATCGCCAGGCGAAAAAGCCAAACCGGATTTCAAATCGCCACGATGCTCTCGCCACATACAGCACCCATGCCCAACACAACTATCACACCCAGAGACACCACAATGGAGCACACGCTCGAAGTGGTGCGATGGCGATCGGCGTCCTTGGTTTCGAGAACTAATGTGGTGCTGTGCTCACATTGCTGGCAGTTGAGCCCGGCGGTCAAATAAACAAAATTCGCGACAGCAATACATTGATCGCCTCATCACACTACAGAGAGTCCAGCGGCATCGAGCCCAGATGCCGTCGCCCGCTGTGCGTGTGTGTCACCTATTATGTGTACGCTGTATGCTGTGCGTGTGTTGTCTGCTGTGTGGTGTCGCCCGAAGTGCGTGTGTTCTCTGCTGCAATCCGCTGTGTGCTCCGAAAAAACCAAAGTGCATCTGCTGACCCCTGTAGTCTACAATCAAGTCATGTACTCTAAAACCTGGTTTAAGCGAACAGAGTGTACAGGCTCTTTTTTCTGGATGGAGTCTATTGCGCTGTCTCCTCAGGCAAGATTTGAAATCTCGTTTCGCTCGAATAAAAGCTCGTTTCGTGGCACACGGCACCTTCTTTGCTTCTATATCGACATCGTCGGAAATCCGGCTTCGGTTTTGTCCGGATTTCGACGCCTGCCGACAGCAATGCATTTTGTCGAGGCACGAGACACATGTTCCCAGACGGCTAGTCTTTCGTGCTTCTCATGACGTGTTTTGTGCCATGTACAAGGCAGCTCGAGCACATAAAGAATGTTGAGAACAGAACGCGTACGCATCAGATTATATGGTTCAATCAACCACAGCAGCGCCAAAAAAGAGGTCAAGAACCAGCTGACCGTAAGGCAGTCAGGTCACACAGGTCAGGATTCCGAGCACAGTCGGATGGGTTTGGTAGTCGTGAGTCGTTCTCCTCGTTGAATGTCGTTCACCCCGACCATTGTCGGATTTGATGCGGGTCAACCGGAAGATCCATTGGTAGCTTTTGAGATCAGCAGCGACTTTGACAAGGCAGCGACACTGGAAGGCCTGTGCCTCACTCGATCTGAGCGATGGATCCATTGAATTCGAGATATGTAGCATACCGTGACGCGGTCTGATTTACCGGAGGAACGTCGTGATAGTAGAGCGCTGCCTGTGTCGCCCGTCCCCTCATATCGAAAACGTGTTTGGCGCCTCCAACCCCCCGTCGCGCGCGCTTTTTCTTTCACTGTCGCCAACGTTGCAGGAGGATGAAAGGATCAGGCGGGAGAGAGAGGACCAGGAGAAGAGGCGACAGAAGCAGCACATAGACCGCTTGGCAAAGCAGGTTAAGGTGAGAGGAACCCTCCATAGAGGGTAAACGGTTTGAACCCCGGCCTTGAAAATCTGGACCGAATCCTGGGACAGCCTGTAGGTTTTTCGTGGAACGTGCTTGGCCAGCTGAGCGGCTGGCGGCTGACCAACCCAACTGTATGGGCGTCGCACGATCGCCTAGAGGCACTATCGCACGGGTAGACGAAATTTTCGCCCTGACAGACACCCGGGAACAAGCGGTTGAAGGGTGTACATTGCAGCGCAGATAGATGGCATCGTTCGGCCCTTGAAGGTCTTGAGCCGATCTCGTTTTGGTTGGGCATGAAAAACGTGGTCGTTCGGTTTTGTTGAACGTCGCAGAATGTCCCAGACTCTGAAGGCGAACGGGTGCACATCTACCGAAAGTATATGTCTGAAAACCGAAAGTTGCGCTCAAGGCACACACTGAGTATTGGGGTGGAAGGAACCCGATACGGAGAAACAATGTTTTTCCCATGCTCTATCTGGGCTATCGCCAGACCCTCGTCAATCTTCTTTCTCAAGTTCAAACTGACTGCGTGTGCCGCAGGCGCTGATGGAACGGGTATACGAGTTCCGAGAGCAGGCGGCGAGGGCCAAACAAGAAGTGGCGTCGCAGCAAGAGGAGAACAAGGAGTTGAAGATGAGAATAGAGCAGGTATGAATGGCACCGGCCCAATCATAAAGAACAAAGTAGGATACTAAAAGCCAGCAGGCTGAGACTCACGCAAGAATGTGTAACAGCTGTTGAGCGCCAGCGCAGAGCTCTACACTGGCTCTTTGGACAAATGCTCGACCTTTGCCCCACAAAAATAACACCAGGCTGAGTCTGTTGTTGTTGTGGTCCTACTGATTGGGCCGATAATTTATGGGTTGTTGCCTTTCCCGAAGACGCCCGGCACTTCCTTTGGTTGAATCGCACCGGGGGTTATTGGTTCTGTTCGACTTCCACGAAGGACACGAGAATATGCACCTACGTACGTAGCAGCCGCTGCTGTGGGGTAACTGCTGTTGCCTGATATTCTTGAGGTTTAATGTCTGGTGTCGCGATCCATTCGTCACCGCGCACTGGTCGCATGACCCACACGGATACCCCCCGGTTTAAACCACGCATGCACCCGTTTCTTCCAAGGTAAACCCTCTTGCGGCCCTGTATTCCGCCGTGCTGCCGCTGGATGCCTTGCTTGCCTATCCACAGAAAATCTTCCACGTTAGAATATTCTTCCGTTTAAATATATTTACCTCGTGAGACGTAGTGGTATAATGTGAAGAAAAATTCAACAAATTCTACTATTTCTCCACTTGGGTATCACGTTGCACGGCAAAGCCCACTTGCATGTCCCCCTGGTACCCCCCCGGTCTGATGTACGTCGAACAACTCCATTGAAGTCTCTTAGCTTTTCCACCTGCAGTTGGGTCTCTCAACAGCCCGGTGACCAGTGCGTGCGAACCCAAAAGCCCTCATCCGAACCTTCCCCTCCCCCCATCATTTGCCGCATGCTGACATGGTGGCCAAAAACGCGTTTCTGATAGTCAAGACACCTCCACACACTAGAAATCGTCTTGAACATGGGTCCGGTTCCCTTGCTAGGTTGAGGAACAGAAACCTCGATTTCGGACGTGTTCGGTGGCTGTCTGTCATTGATGTTTGTGCTCTAGAGAGTCGTCAACTCCTCTACCGGCGTTTCCCGTGTTTGCCAGCACGAGAGAGAGAGAGAGAGAGGGATGGAACCCCCAAGCACCTTTGAAACTTTTTTCAGTGCGTGCGAAAATCGTCTAAATGCAATACAGAAAGGCAAAGGGCGAGGGTAGTTAGAACGTGCGAGCGAGGGAAAATAAGTGGGACGAACGACAACAAAATATGAACAATATTAATGTCAATAATTATGTTAACAGATGCGCGAGGATCACAGCGAAATGATGGTGGCCCAAGCGCGAGGCGGTTTGACGGGCGGAATAAACCGCGCAAACGCCAGGGACTCGAAAAACACCAGAGACCGGGAAGCGGAGATGAGAAGACGTCGGCTCGCCAAGAACGCTCTCCTGGCGGTAAGAGCAACTTGCCTGGCTTCGAAACACGAGCACCTGATCCCATCGAAGATTCGTGCTGCTGTGTTGGAAGAGGACAAGAGGACTTGGCCAAACATATGAACTGTTCAGACAGGCATGCGTGATGTGCGGCGCAGAAAGAAGAGAGTTCAGCTTTTCACAGGAACGCGTTTCGAGTTTCCCGGGTAAGTTCCATACCCTAAGAGTGACTACACACGCCGCGCGACTATCGTTCACCACTTTGAGGCGCACTATCTTTGTAGGAGGAGCTTGTGGAAACGCCGGAAGACACCCATCTACCCCTCTCGAAGAAGCTTCGAGCAGGCTCCTTACCTCAAATTAGAAGCACACGCCGGAAAAGCTTCACGATAAAATAAGCACGTGGTGTACATGCCTAGTCGATGAGTGTGCACATGAAGTGGCGACCAAATGACTGGGGACGAGGAGAACATGGCAATATCTGTTTCTTCCCCTCCCTCTTTCGAGCGAGGTAAGGTCGATCAGATCAGTCCGCTTGACTGGAGGCATGCTTCACGTGTACAACCGTAGGCAAAAAATGCAGAATCAGCTGCGCTTCGCACGTCAACCGCGGTCGTGTCGTAGTGAGGACCCTCACACCCAACGACTCTCGTGTACGGTAGGGGGTAGTGGAGGAGGAGGAAGACCTGGTCATCACTCTCGAGGGAATATCGACAAGCTCCCTGGCGCAGCTCAGCGGGCGGTTCTACCGCTGGCTTGGGAAGAAGTTACCCCTAGGGGCAGACGTCAGGGCGATTCAGGTAAAATGAAACGGCCATGTCAGTACACACCCAAACAACTGCTGCCTGCTGGATTTTTTTGTGCGAAGCTTTAGCTTGTGTACAAAGCAGGGGGAACAACAACAACAACAACAACAACAACAACAACAACATCGAATGATCGCGGTGCAGGCCCGATACGGATCTGCGGTGGCTTCGTACTTCCACTTCTACCGTTGGCTCGTCGGCACCTACATTTTCATCGCCAGCTTAAGCCTAGTGTGGATAGTGTTTCATGTCTTGAAGCAGGTCAACCAGGGCAGTGCCTCCGTCTTCAGCGCCAGTCTTGTCGGTGAGATGATAGCGGCGCAACAGTCAGTTGGCGTAGTCCCCACCCCCCGGAAAACACATTGTGAGAACCCACCTCCCTCACATGTCCTACGGCCTACTGAAGAATAGCAAGGGCAGCTGCAAGTATCCGGCACGGAAACGGTTGGAAATGGAGTTCCTGTTCAGGAACCGAGTTTCTGTTTAGGAACTGGGATGATGCTGCGTCTCGACCAACATGCGTGTTTGGTGACTACTTGTAAAACAATACGATCTTCTGCTGCAGTATTACCATGGGCACCACCCAACCCGGAAAGGTTTTGTCTCGCCTCGATCGCTCTGGGACAAGTAGGAGAGGGGTGTCTCGAGGCCTGGAGGCACGCACACACCCGTCCCCTTCGCGAAGTAACTCCGCCGATTGTTCTATTCCCACGCGCCAAATAACGATCGAGATCTGTACCTTCGCGAAGCAAATGCACCAACTGGCTCCCAAACATGCCAAATAAACGTTCGGGATCACTTTGAGTCACCTGGTAGTAACAAATGATGACTAACGTTAAGTTCAACCGAAATTCCGCGTTTGCAACGCCCGGTGGAAACGAGATACCACCTACAAAAATAAAAATAAACTCGTAGAGGATCAGCACGGTTGCCCGAGGCAAGATGCGATAATGCATAATCGGGATCCGCTATCCCCCCCCCCCCCCCGCCGAAACGGAACGAAACGGCACCAACCCAAAAGGCATCATCCCGTCCTTCCTGGCGTACTCGAGCTTCGACTCCTCCAACCGAAACCTGTACGCCATCATGGTGGTGCTCACCACGACCGTGCAGGTCGTCTCGGCCACGGTTAAGTGGATCAGAGAGGACAAGGTGCGAGAGGGGGATGGTGGGGGGGGGGACTGCGGGCCACAATACAAGTCTAACGTCTTTTTGGGGGTCGAGTTTCTCATTCTGTGGAATATGCTGGTGATGTCTCCGACACGCCTCTCGTCGGCAAAAGAGCAATTCTGGTCGTTCCTTTCAGGAAGACTGTTCTGCTGTTGATGTCGGTGAGGAGCGTAGGGTTTGCGCCCCCTCGCCTCACCCGCCAGCCAATCCTGAAGGTACCTTATAAGGAATACCAAAATCACATTCACGCGTCTCTTCTTGATGCTCATTGAAGAGGCCCTTGTTGAAAGGGCGACGGTTAGGATGTGTGCTTGATATGCTCTGAAAGATGCTGTGAACACCACTGACTGCTGTTGAGCATCGCCAAGCGCCGTGGCGCGGCTGCTGACGCCGAAATCAACCTCCAAGGACACGGGCCGTAGGAACCTCCCTATCGCGGTACAAGTTCCTCCGCACTTACCTCTTGCTGCCCACGGTGTTCTCCCGACATGGCGGTGCAGATTCGCAAGGAACTCTTCATTGTGGACGAGGAGCAGAAACACGTACAATTCGCCAAGACTTTCCTCGTCGGCTGGGACAACTCTCTGTCCAACCAGCAGGTGGGCGTCCCGCGTCGCCGATGGCCCGACTTTAATAACCCCAAACCTCGCGCTGGGTTCAGGGATGTCGCAAGAAACTGACGTCCCTTTCGTTGCAGTATGTGAGATTCGAATGGATGTAGTCGTTGTGTTGGGTGGAGTACAGCGGAAGCTGGTGAGGCTCTCTTATGGCAAGACCCACAAGGACGAGGGGTGCGCAGCCAGCTGATTGTTGTAGGTATGCACTTCGAGGCAAGGAAATCGAGACGCCTACTACTCCTTCCGTGTTAACAGGCCAACTTGAACGTGGTACAGTCAGTAGAGGGAATAGAAAAGCTATTGCGTTGGCATTATGGCAGGGAAAATCCAACCAAATCGACGGTGGTGTTCGTTTCTACTGGCGAATCCGGAAGTTACAAAGAATAAGCTCTGTTGTCCTGAACACTCTTGTTAGACGAAGCACATGCACGTACGTGTCTCCAAAATCTGGCACCTTTCAGTGCCACGGCCACTTTGGTCCTGCTGCTAAACTCAAAGTTCAAATGGCTTTGCAGGAGGTGGAGGACTACAGGTTGTCCAACGGGCTGGCCGCCGCCAACATGCTCGCTGAAGTGAGCCAGGCGGACGCATCCGCCACGAGGTATTGTGCGCGTAAGGCTCAACCCCTCGAGCAATTACCAGACACCGCAGTTCCTGTCAGGTTCCAGATTATTCTTTGGGTACGTGTTGTTGCCGAACACCGGCGAAATAAAATGTATATGTGACTGTGGAACACCCGCGGGTAACTGAATATTTAGTGACTGAGGGGAAAACGTTGACATGCAGAACTGTGTACGTTGTAGGGTGCATTCGAGTCGCTGCATTCCCCCACGTCCTTCGAAAGGCTATCCTTCTTTCTCTTTTCGTCGTATGTGGCTCACTTGGTGTTAATTGAGGAACCTGAAAAATGACGAAGCGCGAAGAATGTTCCCCTTGCTTCCCCCTCGTTCTCCAGGAGCTTGGATGACAAGATTTGGCTCTACAGTTACCGGTGCTTCGGCTTCGCCCTGTACGTGGGTGTGCAGGTGCCCGAGCTCTAGAAACCACCGAGCCGAAAAGTCGTGCCAGAGGGCTAGCGCGTAGAAAACCGCGACAGACAGGCGGTCCGAAATATTTTTTGGGGGATACTGCTGCGTCGGTAGAGAAATTATCGTGGGAGACAACGTGTACGTGAAACACCGTTGTTGGTTGTTCAACCTTTGGAGGACGAGTAGTCGAAGGGACGTCGTTGGTCTACTCCTGGCCACCGACAAGGTACCAACGCCGATACCAACTTTGCTTGCACGAGATCAAAACAGAAAAAACAGGGTTCAGATATCGCTGATGACGGCGGGTGCTCTTTCTCCTTTTGGTCTCCAGATAGCCGTGCGGGTGGCGAGTATCCGACACGCTCCTCAACAACCGAGCTATGCCATACAAACCGACCACCCGGGCCACAAACAATGATGTCCACACAGTAAGACTTAAGTATCGACGGGATTCGGTGACAACCAACCCCGTGTTCGGTTTTCGTCTCTTTCTCTCTTTGTTTGGTTTTCAGATGGCTGCTTGGGCGGCGATCATCTTCCTCACGGCCGAGTCCGACAACGTGGCTAGCGGCCTCGCGCAGCAGCTGCAGTCCGTCGCCTGGATCTCCCAGGCGGCCGCCGTCATCTCGACTTCGATCGTGCCGGCAACGGTGACCGTCATCAACGCCATCATGCCGATCATCATCAAGGTGTGAGAGACCAGCGGTGGCTCGAAAAAGGCTCGAAAGAGGAACTATTGGTGGGGAAAGTAGCCACACCACCAAGGTGCTATAGACTATCGCAAGAACGGGTTCGAAGAGAAGGTACTGGATTGCGATGTGCAATCTGTGCAATGAATTCCGTCCATGTCTTACTTGTCTAGCCAGAACTCAGCATATATTTGTCTCTGTAGGATTGGGTCTTTGCAGGAGCTGACGTTGCCCTCATTGTCACGAGGATGCTGTTGTCGTACCGCGTTTTCGCCTTAAAGCAGACGTTTCTCGTGCTCGACATGGGGGTCCAAATCGTCATCCGCGCCCTCAGACCGTCAACAGTATTTTGAGGCCTTGGGTAGCCTGTTCAAAAGCCGCCACATCTCCCCCGTCTTGCTTTGGTGTACACCACGCATCCCTCAAACGTTTTGGACCATCATTCGTTAGCAACCCTGGCAAACAACCCAGTCCTCACCCTAACCGTGGGGCACGATGATGAACGCGTGAGCGAAACATGGCACGGTCAGGGACCCTACGCATCGTCGAACAAAATCACCATTGTTATCCGTTTCAACCAGTTTGTGAGGCCTCAAGTGTTATCGACATCACTTTTGCCGCTTCAATGCTCACGCATATGTTCGCCCTCACTCTCCTGGACAAGTCGCTACAGTCATGTGATGGCCACAAACAATAACATTTTCAAGGGATGTACAATATTCTTGTCGAATGCACAAAAACACACAACACTCCGCATGTACATCGCCCAGGGAAAAGGGGGGATGCATCCTACGAATGCCGTGGAGATGTTCTTAAATAGTCGAAACGCACCGTGAAGCATACAAATCTTATCGGTGTTGGCCATCCATGATATTGTTCAAGGTTTAGAGAACACGCACACGTGTGCCTGATACATGCTGCTGTTTCGAAATCCAGGCAATCACCAAGCTGGAGAAGTGGGACATGGAGAGGACCGTGACATACATGCTCACGATTCGGATGTTCTTGGCCAAGATCTTGAACGCCTTCATCCAGGCTCTGTCGTACCTTCTCTTGGCCGACCCGTACCTTTTCGCCGGACAGCAGTGAGAGGAAAATCGTTAGAAACATGCAGTCTCATGTGCTTGATACTTAAAGATGGTCGAAATGCTGAATTGGAGATAGAGAGATGGGGGAGGGAGAAGGGCGGGCGCCGGGGGGGGGGGAACGGAGAGGCAGAGGTAGAGGCAGATGGACACATAGACAGACAGGAAGGGAGAACGATGTCGAGGGCAACAGAAGAACGAGAGCTAACAATAGTACCCTCACGAAGAAGGTCGCTTGTTATTTTCAAGTCGATTTTTTCCCCCCGCGGATCGCTGTTTTGCGAGCAGAAACAACGAACATACGGGGCATCACCAAGCGTACTAAATGCTGATGTGTTGTAGCTTTCCGAAAGAGTACTTGAACATTTTCCGTTCTTCGTGCTTCTGTACCATTCGTTGTCTTTACAGGTACACAATCATTATCAATCGGGGCCGCGTGGAGCAGAACTTTGAGCCGTCAGGGTTTGACTGCCGGTTAGATCAAGTGAGAAAACAACACCACGAGCAAATTCGCACAACAAGTGACTGTTTCCGTTGTTGTTGTCGTGGGCGCTTTAGCTTTGACTGTTCTAATAGTGTTCTGTCTGGACTGCACTGCTACTTGTTTTTCACCCCACAGAAAGCCCCCTCCGTTGCGCACTATATCTGTACTGCTACGTTGACGTCGATGAGACTCGGTAGCCATCGAAGGAGGGCAAACAAAGAGGGCGGTGATAACTGTTTGCTTGCCTCTACAGGTCTTGTGTCTGTGCTTGTGGTTTTCTCCAATTTAGCATTCTACGACCATAGGTCCGGTAGTTTGAGCGAAAGCACAATGCAGACGAAGAACGTATCGGAATCATCACTAAAACTCTCTGTTTTTCTTGCTGTTTACAATTCTCATCCCGTTGCAATCGAAAATGCCGCTTAGCATCAAAAAAAGGGGCAGTAGTCGTGCCTGGCTGCAAGCTCAAACTCGACATGAATGCCGTTTGTTGGTTTTCTTCCTCGTTTGTCGGCCTCCCACACATGAACCACTTTTTCTCCGCCTCCAAGGCTGGGGCAGGCTTGTTCCAGCTGGTAGTAACCGAGTTCGTTTTTTCCAAGATCATCAACTACGCGACTCTTCGAGCTGCCCAGGTCAAAGCCCGGGTAAGGTGGCTTCGAAGTACACACCAAGCAGCTACAACAGTAGACGGTCATTGTGCTAGACAAGATGAGCAGACAGAAGGCCTGGTCCGTCATGAAATTCTGAAGATAGCACAGCATTGACAGAGGGTGCGCTGAGGAAGATCGCAGGAGGGTCTGCTTCTTTCTTTTCTTTGTTTAGATAGGGTAGTCGTAAGGAGGTCGTAGCCGGGCATCACAATTTATCAATCCCGCAATCTGAGCCATGGTTAGATGGACCCAGCCAAAGAGCAAGAAAACAGAATTCACCAACGCATACCTTAGGGTCTTGATATGTTGTGAAAGAAGCCGGCCACGGAAGAGACCCACGAAATAAATAGTGAGAGACAGACAAAAGTATCTCCGGCACGCCCTGGCTTTCGTTTTTCCGAGGGAAGAACGCCTGCCTCGCCCAGATCAATCTTGTGGCCACATACATGGCATCTTTTTTTAGGCTGAAATAATATTCAAAGTACCTGCTGTTTTAGCTCGATTTGCACGTGTGTGTGACCAGCTGCCCTTGGTGTGTTGCGTGTCTACTTTCAGTACTCCAAGAAATTGTTCGTGAAGCCGGAGTTCGAGGTCGCCAAGCGCATGGTGGGGCTACTTTACTTTCAGGTACCAACAGTTCAGTTGTTGTCGAAGTTGTTGCCGTGGTTGTATTCGTGGACGTTAGAACTCGTTACGACCTTTTCCCATCACTCCTGTTCGAAATGAAGAACACAACAGAAAAGACCAGGAAAATGCAGTCTTGTCGCTTGGACAAAAAGCGCGTTCAATAAACGTACAGGTAGAGATGGACCTCGATTGTGTTTCGAAAGAGGAAGCAACGCGCATTTGTCGACCATGGGGAAGAGACCGAGATACAACTCGGTTTTCTTGTTTCAATACCTGAAAGATGTGCAAACCCGCATCGTACTCTGTTGCTGGTCTCAAGGCATACACAATATCGTCCGTACCGGTCTTACCCTCCCCCTCCCCTTGCTCGTACCCTTCGTGTTGCAGGCCCTGATCCTGGCGGCGTACCCGTTCTTCCCGATGGGCACCGTGTTCGTGGCGCCGTTCCTCATCCTGTCCTTCAAGTTCGAAAAAAAGCTTCTCACCGCATTTCAGGTGCGGTTCCTATTAATAGTATGCCCGGGGCGTGTCTACCTGAGAAACTGCTGCATTAACCTTAACCTTCCTCCAGGTCTACAGACCACTTTCCGAGCTCGATATGACCAAAGCAAGAATTTGGGTTTTGGTCGTGATGAGCGGCGTCGGCAGTAACGGCCATGAAGAGATTTGTAGAGACACATCGTTCCGTCGTTGCCATTCGACTGTCTAGGTATCGAGCTTCAAACCTCGGTCCAAGTTTTATGCGGCCTGGCGCTATGTTGAGCACTATAGTTGCCGCCGTGGGAATTGACACCGAGCGAGCTAGAACAAGCTCTTTGTCACGAGAGGTGGCCTGGTGTGATATTTTCTCAACCCGTTCGGACGCTGGTGTTTGCGTGTCTTTCGAAAGCAATGTCATCCGGCTTGGAGCGTCTGAACAACCGGAAAAGAGCACCACCTGGCTTTTTCATCTGAAGTGCTCCGGCTAGGACTCGATAGGTTAGACCAATATCCGACACGGCTGAAGGCAATGCGAGAGCTAGCAACAACACGAGATCTTGGGTATTCTCTACTATAAGTCGCGGTCGCATGTCGTCAACCATGCACCGAACTCCTTGAAACTCAAGAAGCACGGATGCGTCGTGAAAGTCTCCCTCCGTTGTGCCTCCTTTACCCCCTCTGCAACGCAACGGAATCAACAGAGGTGAGTTTCCCTCTCTACCATCCCACCTTACCCTCTCCGGCATTTCTTTTCCGTTCATGGCGTCCATGACACCGCCTTCTGTTGGTGATGACGAACCAATGAGCCAACCTTGCTTCACGCATGAAATTGGAATGATCAACGACATCCAACAGTCCAAGCCGAAAGGCCGACTGAAGGCGCACGACAGCTACTCCTTCTTCATCAAGTTTTATCTAGCGACGCTCGTGCTGCTGGGGGTGATGGCCACCCTGTTCCTTATCATGGGTACCACCTTTGCCAAGAACTGCGACATACAGGTGGGTGGGTGAGCGGTTTCAACTCAAAGATCAACATACATACACGAAGAAAAACGGGACATCAACACGTCTCTTGAGCTGATAGCTGTTGTACCGGTAGGGTAAGCGCCATTGCTGCATTTTGTCGAAGAAGCTGAAACGCTGCTGTTGTGTAGGACATACGCACGAGATGATTCCTCGCTTGTTTTTCCTGAATTTCATCGACAGATAGAGCTTCTCGTGTTTCGTTGTTTTCATGGAAGAAAAAATGCAGAAAACCAAGCAAATACATGTCGGTTCGTGTTTCGTTCCTTTTTTGTTCAGTCGCAACACAACGCAGCACCCGTCATTTCGTTGGACACAACGTCTTCGAAAAGGGGCAACGCGACGGTTAAACTGTAGTGTTTGCGTGCAAAGATGCCATCTCCCTAAAAAGACGTCGACTCAAGACCAAGGTCATGTTGTGTACTGTTCAAAAACAATTGGTGCACGCTCTTCCCAAGACCATTGCACGTACATGCATGCACGCCTGAACAAAAGGATCATACACGCAAGATGTAGAATCGACTCGACCTGAACCTGCCAGGACGGCGAGATCGGCTTGTGCGAAGGCGACATGCAGAGCAGCAACTCCACGTGTACGTTGGACCCAGACAACGCCTTCTACGGCTACTTCTCCGAGAACTGCCAAGCACCAGCTGACGAATATCCCGCTTGTGTGTGCAAGGTGCGGCTACGAGCCGAGTATTTTTTTTTTTTTTTTTTTTTTTTTTGTTCTTCACTTCAAATCAGTGCTCACAGCACTAGTGCCGTTTATTCCAACCCGTGGTCACACAGAAGAGCCTCTCTCTACCTTCCCCTCCTGCGGTACTTCGCCTTCAATTTTTAATGCGAGAAGAGTTCAGCACTCTCTTCCCTCTGTGTACACACGAACTAGCGCTATCCACTTGGCCAGGAGCGGAAGCGAGAGAAAAACTCACTTTGCAAGAAAAGCTCGCCTACGGCGGGATTCGAACCCCTGACCTGACCTCTAGAAGGTTACGAGGCTACCAACTAGACCACCGGGGCGACCGGCAAGTATGGGTGGCGTTGAATCGAATAAACCGGAATAACCGTCCGACCGATGAAAATATTCTAGAAAATGAGTTCCAGTCCGAGGGTCCCCCAACATCGGGCCTGCGGAGGGGACTGGCTGTATGGGACGGTCTGTTTGTGTAGCCAACGACTGCCTCAGAGTTGTTACACCGACAAACCGTAGGGAGTAACTGGTTGCGAACCACCGCAGATGAAGTATCTCGCTCAGCAGAGGGAATCAAGATGGTAGAAGCTTACCTACGTGCAACCACGGTTTTGGGCTCAAGCAATCGAGGCGGCGTGGGGAACAACTGACACGACCGCCGTAGTTGTGACTCCGGGCAGTACGTGGGTCGAGTGGCGATCACAAGTTTTATGGCGGGAAAAATGTACACGTTCGGGGGGACGATGCCCACCCTTCGAACTTGTCAGCTGGGTCGATCGCGACATTGTCCATTTGTGTTGGTGTCAGAGGCAACGGCGAACATTGTCTGGCTTCCAAGTCGTGGTCACTGGTATATTCGTCCACACGTCTTCGGCATCATCTTGAACGCGTGCCGACGACAGCACAACACGAACGTTTACGTGCCAAAACCGTGCGACTTCGATTTCATGCCACGAGACTATTCCAGCACTCGTCACTGACACCGCTGTCATTCGCACAGCCGTATGCCGCGAAACGAACGCTGAACATGAACCGCGCGAACAACCACGGAAGAAACCACGGAAGAAACCACGGGATGAACGAACCACGGCGCTAACGGAACTCATGAAACGCCACGGTGCTCGTAATAAAACTCCACGTGGCAGGACAATCTGGCGTGCGGTCCCTTTGTCGAGGTGACCTCGGCGTACAACTCCCTCAACACACAAGTGCGGTCCATTTCCATCGTGGGATACGTGAGTTGCCGAATAAGTCTGTCTCCGTGTGGGCTCCCACCTCTGGATGGTGAACCTTGTGCGCAAGCATGTCTTGGAAGGATTTTCCTGGGGGTATGCAATCGCCTGTGGGGTCGCACTCAGCCTACAATTAGGAAGGCTAGGGCTCCAAAACCGGTCCGTTTCGTGAGGTCGTTGTTTTCTGTTTTTTCTGACGCACCAACCACCCTCGCGGCAGACAGCGCATGACGAATACCCTCATGAGGAGCTTATTGTTTCAAGTTGTCTTGACCCTCTACAGACATGGTGGACATATTGAATGCCAGACATGAGAGGTTCGAATAGTTCCTGCATGATCCACGGCTGAAGGCCCGATTTTCGGCGGTATATCTTGCTACAAGTTGTCGTAAATCTACTCCGTCTCAATAGGGATGTGTGTCTAATTGTCAACTTACGATAAAGCAAAGCAATGTAACTTCGTCCCCTTCTCCCCGCCGCCCCCGCAGATTTTCGGGATTCTTGTTGACAACAGTTTCGTGCTCTGGGGCGCGGCCATCGTGCTGTGGCTCACGATCCTCTTCCAAAGAAACTCGTCACAGTGAGTACAATCGATCTCGACAACCGTTGCGACAAGAGGCACGACAGCTGGCACATCGCACCGTGACAGTTAGCGATTCCGCGAAATATCCCACCTGGTGATACTCGAGTGTTACAGAGTACGGAGTAGGTCAGATGTCTTCGACTTTTTTTCGAAATACACACATGCATTTGAGCCACCCGACACTAACCTGCGTAGTTCCAATTGGTTCCCGATAACGAGGACGCGACTCTGGTAAAGTACGAGGACCTGAAGTGGTGGCTTCAGCCATCTGTATGCACACGTCACGTTTGTGTGTGCTTGGATCTTGGTGCACAACCCTGTTGCCGTCTCTTGATGAGTCACTTCATCTACATAGACTTACCTCATACTTTACTTAAGACATTACCTGAAGCGACAAAAAATGAACAAGCAACGACAACAAACAACGACGATGACGACCCCGCCCCGCGACAGACCGAATGTTCCGGAGAGCCACCACCACCACCACCAACAACAACAACAACAACAACCCAAATAACCACCGTCTCGAAAAACTCTCAAATCGCAGGACGCACGCGGATGCGGCTGCGGACCGAGAGCGCGAGTGGATGAACGAGGCGCAGACGACGCAGGCTCGGCTGAAGAAGCAGGCCAAGCTGATCGAGAAGATGCAACTGCAAGCCGGCGCTATGCTGTTCGACGAGACCGGGGGGGGCTGAGTTGCCCCCCGCATATCTACACCTCGAGAAGGGGTCACAGAGTGTGTGCTTGTTTTGCTCAGTCGTCCTCAAAATTCTCCGTAGTCTACAGTAGTGCGTACCCAGTCTTGGTCGTGTCCCCTGTGTGTGGTGTGTATATCTTTTCCATATGGTGCTCAATTTTATCGGTAACTTCGGCGTAGGCAGGCTGGCGGAAACAAACATAATTAGGAGAACATAATACGTCGCCGGGAATGCAAGACAAGGGAACCGTGTCCTCTGAAGCTGAAGCACGGGCGGAGGCGGAGGAGGAGGAGGCGGGGGGACTCCCGCCGTGCTCTCCTCGAGCCCCCATGGGGACTCGCATCGCACGGAGGGTCAAAACACCTTCATCTCGTGAGAACACTCGCCCCCGGATGAGATCGTCCCCCGAAAAAAGTAAAAATGGGCCACCGACGAAGCCGTGAAGCAATGAGAAGGTCACTGGCATCATTTTCTTTGCTTCTTTTCACCCCCCATCTCTAAGTTCGCCACGGGGTGTCATCTTTGGCCTAGGATTCGGCAACCACACGGCGAGGCGTTCATATACATACATAAAAAGGACAAGGGATGTTCATTTCGGCAACTTGTTGCTGCTGCTGTTATTGACGTTGCTGTTGCTGTCGATTGTTCGATTCTTCCACTTTTCAAACCTATGTGCCTCAACATTACTCTGACATCGAGCACAGCCAACCTCGATCCTTCTTGCGATCCTCCTGCCGACAAACAAACGAACGAGTTGTCCGGTCACGAGTCGGCTGGTCCGTAACGCAAGACTGTCACACGTCATCGAACGACTCCTCAGCATCTAGCGTTGCTCTGCTTGTTTTTCAACGAACGTACGCAAACCAATGTTGAAGGTTGGCTGTGTTGTATTCAGGAACACAAGAAGGCGACCAATCTGGCGTTCGAATCGACTCATCGAATAGGAGGCAAAACCACAACAAAAAGAAAACAACAGTACATTGAGAACGGAACGGTGAAGACAACAACAACAACAACAATTGAGAGGCCCAAGCTTTTGCCCAACCGCCCTCTCTATGCTGCTATCGTCTTATTACAATTTCTTTCCCGCAGATGAGTTGTTTACACACAGGCAGGCCTGATGTCATCGGTTCAAACTGCCTCTCAATCAATCTCTAAAAACGCTCCAGTCAGTCCAGGTGAATCTTTGTCCCACCCGGGACATTCATTTGTGCGCCACGACGGAGGTTCTTCTCTTGTTGCCCTGAGCATAGCTCCAACCACTTCGGCGGCGAGCGCGGAATCAGGACCACAGGACCACAACCATCCTAGTTTACTATTCGGCGCAAGCGTCTAGACAAGCGGAGAGTTTCCACAGCCCCGAACGTTTCCCTACCCCTGGTCTGGTGCGTGCGCGGTGCGCGGAATTTGCCCCCCCCCTTTCCCTCTTCCAACTTCCTCCAGTTTGGTGCGTTCTTCTCATCTTTGCTACTGGTCGCAACAGGAATAATAGGGCCGGCCAAGGACCATCGAGTAGCTACCATCGAGTGATTCTGATCTTTTTCTCGAGGTCTGAACATGGTGAGGGCAAGGTAAAGTGTGCTTCTAGGCAACATGTGGGTAGAAAGAACTTCGCCTCCAAGTCCGTTCATCGTGATGCCAGCATCGGACACTAAGACTAGGAACGGACTTCGAAGAACGAACTTTACTCCGAAAGGAAGAAGGTTCTCTCTCTGCCTGTTTTCGGACAATATAGACCAATGGGGAGAAGCGGAAGACCACACACACGGCGCATTGTTCATCTCGTAAACATTTAGTATTTGTAAAAGCTTCGAAGTACATGTATCACATACATGTACTGGTTGGATTGGACGGCGGATCGTCACGACGATCGCAAAATGTTTTTTTGCAAGACGTCGACGACGATGTTGACGTGCAAACACATCGGATCGACTAAAAAATAGACTATTTATTTGCATGACACATATACATATTGTACGCCTGTGGTGAACGTCGCGCGACAAAACGCAATATGGGATGAAGTGCCGGGTGTGCCCGCTCCCGAACTATCGTACTTGTAAAACGACATGTATGTATGTATGTATGTATGTATGTGGACATTTTACATTCCAATCTATGTAGTAGTAGTTGCGTATATTAATATATAACAAGGCGCCATTAAAGACTCTGTATAGTCTACGCTGTCTCCGTCTCTTGTTGTGGACTGTACGCCGAAAAAATAAGGCAAACGAAAAGTACTGTTAATATCTAGACTATGCGCTGCATATTACGCACGCAGCATGTTGAATCATCTGTAGGCCTCCCACCTTCTTCCACGTGTAAACTTGTAAATAAAATCATCACACCGTGTAGGTTGTAGACCACTACAGGTACGCCTCTGTTCTTGTTTGTACGTGGTGGAATTGGTGCTGTTGCCCTCGGACTTCCCTGTTGACGACTCTTTTCTGTAATTGCCAATTAATTGTGCGTGAGAAGAAAGAGAACTGCGGCATTATTTAGCTGCTCGTGGCCACGCCGTGCAAGAACGGCGAGAGCTGTACTTTCGACATGATGCACTTTATGTGTCTCCTACATTTGAGAGAGAGAGACAAAGTGCGGGCTCGAAACTGCGACACTGCATACCAAGTGGCGCGCCTCTCATCTTTGCACCGAAAAAAATGTAGCAGTGGGTTGCAGTGGGGCATCCTGCTGCACGGCAGAGTAGACTACTGCTGTAATTTTGTAGGTATGTTGATGTAGTGTGTCGTAGCAGAGCAGCTCTGATCTCGAGAATTTCAGGACTGCAGTTGCTGCTCATTGAAGTATCTACATAGACTACTCCATGCTGAACAGTGGAAGTGCAGTGTCCAAAGTTCTCGTATACCGCCCTCTGGGTGTGTGCACGCGCGAAATATCACGATTGGCCGAATGCGCAAGTATCTACTAAAATATCTACGAGCTAGCTCGTAGCAGCAGCCCGATCGACCGTCGGCGAAACTCGCATTCTTCTGCAGTTTGGTTGGTTACCACGGCACCACCAAACAGGCACCTTTCGGTCGGATTCTGTCCTCGACCGTTTCAGATTTCAGAGTTTCAGGCGCAGTTTCAACATGACGTCATCACGTCAACGGCGAGGACGTGGTCCGCTGATTTTCGCCCTTTTTTTGCCGGTGGCCGCTGCAGCAGCAAGCGCTCGGCCCACCCCCTCCTCATCACACACACAACCCTTGCCTTCCTTCTACACATCCGACAACAAGCAAGTGAGTCTCCCTATTTCTCAGCAGCCCACGCGCCGGCAGGATAGCTAGGATCGGCAGTGTGTTTTCTACATACCTCATGCGTGCATGTAGCTGTGTCTGTGTGCGTGCACGAGGTGATCATGCCGTATTTGGAAGCGTGCGTGTTAGTGCAACGGCGGTGGAGTCATGATTGCGCTCGCTGTATGCATGTTATCTTTTTTGGGATGGGGAGACAGAGAGAGAGAGGCCAGTATTCATAGTGACCGCAAGGAGCGCGCCATGTACCTCCGCTTTCCGAACCGAAGGCTGAGGGGAGGACAGCGCAGCAGTGCCCGCCTTCCAAATAGTTCGCGTTCCAAGGCTTCCTCAACACCCAACACGAAAATACGCGTTCCCTCCTGTTTGTAGGAAGCACATTCCGACTCGCTATGGCTCTCTTGCTCCCCTTTGCAGCAGCTACTGCTCTTTGTCGGACAACAGGTACTAGTATTCCTGCTGTCACTGCTACTGCCGTTTAAGTACGCCGCTGCTACCATGGTCGAGAGTGCGAGCTTTCCATGGGACAGCATCCTCTCTTCTCACGTGCTGTTTTTCACCGCAACTGCCGCTGAGTTCTGATGCCACATGACATCACGACACCACAGCTGTTGTTGTCGGCTCTGGTTCTCTTCTCCCAGATACAAACGAACTCCGCTGGCACCTCTCTTTGTGCACCTGACACCGAGCTGTGACGCTGCTGTACATGCCTCTGCTGCTGTGCCTGCGTCGGCTGCTCCTCCAGCAGCGAAAGGCGTTGGCGCGCATTCACACGCGCAGCAAAACGCATGATTCTTCCAATGCATCAAAATTCTACGCTGCTTCTTACAGCTGTTGGGAACCGCACGTCCACCCCTGACAAACCGACCTGCCCTTACAATCCCCCCCTATCGCGACAGATTTTCACACAGCAGCAGCATGCCGAACACGCAGTTCTCCAGCCACACCGCCCTCTCCGATGAGGTGCTCAACGAGTTCCGGAAGCTTCCTCAGGGCGGCAAGATCATGGCCGAGTACATCTGGATCGGCGGCACCGGGCAGGACCTCCGCTGCAAGACCCGCACCTTCCCCGCCAAGGAGGGCGGCTACGCCGTGGCCGATCTGTGAGTCGAGCTGGTTGTGTCCCTGATCGGAAAGTGCTTCTCGATGTTGCCGTAATTAGCGGCCAGTCCAGCAGTCCACACATGAACAACCACCAGCAAGTAGCACGACGTTGGATGTAAATATGCGTATGTATGTACAGCAGTACATGTCTAAGTAGAACTCAGCGAATCGAGCTCGAGCCCTACAGGAGGTGCCTCCTATGCATACATACGTGGAAATCACGCGGTCGTGATTCAGTAACATCTCCTCTATCCAGCACCCGTGGCACCCGTGGTGGTGTCGCTACCTCTTCGGAAGTGCATTGTACTTCCAAGCTTTTTTTCATACACGTGGCCCTATGTGGCAGCTGCAACATACAGTATATGTGGTCCAACCCCCCACCACCGGCGCCTAGGGGTGTCACAGCAGCAAAGCAGAATAGCACCCCCCGGATTTAGAACCCGTGTGTTCTTCGAGTAAAATAGTGTACGTCTCCATTCGTCTACACACATGCACACATACCGTCGATATGCTATGTCGTAGAACACAGATTAGGATATTCCCCAAAAGGACGAAAAACAGATGCCAAGCCCAAAAAGGCGGAGTTCGTACGTAAATAGTGTGAAAGTGTGAAAGTGCACCTCGTCGGTGACGCATATTCCGGAACTTCCGCCAACAAGGAGCGGGGTCCCTCAGGAGTGCCGGTATGTGCCCGCCAGGTTCACCCGCACTATACGGGGCACCGGGCACTTTGTATTCACGTTCAAGAGAGCTTGGATTTTGGTTGCCGTCCATGTAGCGTCCATGCCACGTAGTTGCCATGTGAGGCACTTTCATGTAGAATATGTAGTCCGGACCCCCGCCGCTATTTACTCTTTCACGTTCCATCTCATACAGCAAACGCATGCAAGTACAAGTAATTCTTTGAACACGACAGACTTAAGGAATAATGAAAACACACACAGAAAGACTACCCATTCGAGATACACCCACAGTCGAACGGGATGTGGTGGAGTCTTTTCAGTGAGTGGAGGAAATCTTCTACTTGTTCAACAATGTAAAACCAAAAAACGTACTCGTACGTATGCGTAATGCGAAACAATAGATATGGGTATGTATCTCGAATGGGTAGTCTTTCTGTGTGTGTTTTTATTATTCCTTCAATAAATAATTATGTGGTGTGTTCATTCAATAAATTAACTGTTTTTGGTTTGGGGGAGACGATAATCAACCATGAACCCCCCAAATCCAACCATGAAAGCCCCGAACTTGTTGGTGGGCAATTTTGTCGTTTCCAATATGGCTTACGGTTGACGACGGTATATCCACATTTCCACCGCAGGAAATCCTCATCTTCTGCGATGAAGCAAGTCAAACAAAAAGCCGACGACACCACCACCGGCGTACACCAGCTGGTAGTTTATAGGCACGCACACACTCACGGTCATGCCAAATTCAAGAACACCGCATTAGTCGAAGCAGTGGTAGACAAGTGCATGAGTCTCATCTCTCGATGTACATATGTTGGGTGAGGGGTAAAAAAAAAAAATGTTGGGTGAGGGGTGCTTATCGCCAGAGGCTGCAGAGAAAGGTAGTCTAAGGTTGACTTACAGCACCTTGGTTATTCACGAGTGGGCAGGCACGCAGACGCAAGGGGTACTGCCCTCTTCTTCAAACACATTATTTGCACCAACGAAACCCGAACCCCCCCACAGATATCCTCTCCGTAGATCCATATCTACTGTTGTACCCTCCCAAGATCTTCGTAGACCCGCATCTGGTGCTGACAGTAGCCTTCGCAGGGGTCTTCGATTAAATAGTCACCATGTTGGATAAGACTCCAACGCATCTCGATTGTGGTTAGACTATATCTCGAACGGGTTGTAGTCTCTCTGTGTTCGTATTTATTTTTGCTACTTTAGCATGCAGTCAGGGTTACTGTAGGCACCCCCTCCCCGTCCTATTTCCGTATAAAAAAATAATTTCGCGCGCCCCAGCGCTGAGTACACCCTTTACATTTTCCCGCAACCTCAGGCCCAAGTGGAACTTCGACGGGTCCTCCACCGGCCAGGCGCCCGGAGAGGACTCCGAGGTGATCATCTACCCCCAGGCCATCTACCCCGACCCCTTCCGCGGAGGCGACAACATCATGGTGCTGTGCGACTGCTACGAGCCGAACGGGACCGCGCTCCCCAGCAACACCCGCAAGGAGTGCGCCGCTATCATGGAGAAGGTGAGCTTTGCATTTTGTGTGCGCGTGTTTTTTCGTTAATTGTTGCATCGACGCGCTGATGGGCTGGCCAATGAACGGATGTTCTGTCTTGTAGCGGGGGATGATAACTACCGTCACACTTCCTAATTGAAAGGATTCAACCGACAGCGGAGGGGGGCACAGGAGTTGGACTGCTGTGTGCGCGATGAGATTGTAGGCATCACTATTTGTTTTTTTCGGTTCAGTCGGACGTGCCGCCCTGTGAAAATCGTCGGTATGCATATGTAAAATACCAGTAAGTACGCTATAAGCGTCGTCGATAGCGTTGAGTTCGAATTAATTTCGTCTCGATTCTGCCAAATCTGGAGCGATTTCTTGGTTAGAGAAGTCATGCCCGCGCACATAGCAACTTTTTGTGGTGTGCTTCCCCACCACCCTCTTGTGTCTTACATGTACGTTGGCATTCTCCCATCTTTTACTTTTCGGCCAATCGTCGACGCAGGCGAAGGAGCTGGTGCCGTGGTTCGGTATCGAGCAGGAGTACACCCTGTTCGAGGCTGACGGCGTCACCCCCTTCGGGTGGCCCAAGAGCGGATACCCGGGACCCCAGGGCCCGTACTACTGCTCCATCGGGTACGAGAACGCCTTCGGCCGCCACATCATGGAGGCGCACTACAAGGCCTGCCTCTTCGCCGGCGTAAACATCTCGGGAACCAACGGGGAGGTCATGCCCGGACAGTGGGAGTACCAGGTGACCCCCCCCCCCCCCCCCCGTGGTATTTAGCGTATGTAGGCCAGCCCATGTTAGGTGGCTCCCCAAGCGACGACCGCGGCGGGGAGACACGTACGTGTCCACCAACAAGACTCACCGTCGCACACGTAGTTTTTCACAGGTCCTGCAATATCCGCCCCCTTGTTGCTTCATCCTACGGTGGTACCTCGCTTGCCTCCAACTCACGGTGTCCCCCCTCCCTACTGCTTTTTTTCAGGTGGGCCCGTGCGAGGGCATCGCAGGAGGCGACGAGCTCGTGATCTCCCGCTACCTGCTCCAGCGCGTTTGCGAGCAGTTCGGCGTGATCTGCTCCCTTGACCCCAAGCCCATCCCGGGAGACTGGAACGGGGCCGGTTGCCACACCAACTACTCCACCAAGCCCATGCGCGAGGAAGGCGGCTACAAGGAGATCATCGCGGCCGTCGAGAAGCTCGGCGAGAAGCACGACGAGCATATCGCCGCCTACGGCGAGGTGCGTTTTTGTTTCTTCGGACCTCTTGTTGCTGTTCCTCCCTGCTTCATGGATCTGTGACCCTGGTTGTTTGTTTTTTCGGGGTATTTGGTTTGTCGATTTCCTCTCTAGATAGTTCCCCTCTTCCGGCAGGTTTGTGGGCGTGTGTGGTTCTTTCATTTTCGAACAGCCATCAGCCGGGCTGAATGGCAAATTAACGACGCAACGCCAGCTTTTTGTCGATCGCCCTGGCCGGCTGATCACTGAAGGGACAATGGTACATGAGCATGTGTGATTCATGTTTTTCTTGGGTTCTTGAACGGTTTTGTATTCGTGATGAGCGAGGTTTCATCCCTCTCTGTGTGTCACCCATTGCATGTACATGATAAGACAAGCCTCGTAGCGAATTCGGTGGCTCCCCGAGTTGTTTATCTGTGTAGGTTTCTGGGTGTTTTTTATCCCGATACAAGACTCCCCCGCGCTTTTGCCTTGCACTCTCGCTCACCTTGCCCCCGCTGTTGCCTCCTCGAACGGTCATCATAAACATTACCAACAAACTACAACATAGATGGCGACAGGGTAGTACATTAACATTAACATTACCAACAAACTACAGCATAGATGGCGACAGGGTAGTAAGCGTCGTGTGCCACAACAAGACAAAAACATTAACATCAAAACGACCAACACACGACGGGGTGATGACAGGGTAACGAGCGCCGCTTGACCGGCCGCCACGAGACCGCGTCGATGGACAAGTTCTCGTACGGCGTCGCCAACCGCGGGGCGTCCATCCGCATCGGCCGCGACGTGGAGAAGGAGCAGAAGGGATACTTCGAGGACCGCAGGCCTTCGTCCAACATGGACCCCTACGTGGTCACCGGCATGATCGTGAAGGTGGGTTCATGGCCCGGGCGGGAGGGAGGGTTGGAGGGGTACTCATTGCCGGCTCGCGTGGATCGTTTTGGCTGCTTCACCATGTGTTACTTGAGTGTTTGGGAAACCAGTTTCAGTTTGTTTATGCTTTCATCTAGACCCGAGCGCGGTAGACCCACTCGCGCTGCAGAGAGGTGCACTCATCATATGCATGCTGTGTACGATCTACCAATGCCCTGTCATCACAACGAACGAGATGTTGGCGTTGCACCCCTCGGGGTTCGCCGCTTCGGGAAATAACTAACGTTTGTAAATACGGCAGCTTGTAGCGTCTTCCACAAGCAAACGAACGGAAAGAGCAACTGTTCTACCGTAGTTGTGTATGCATGGGTAGATTGGTTGTTATACTGGGTACTCCGTAACAGAATTTTAAGCAAGACGTATTTCCATCCGCGTCAAGCCAATCGACGCCAGGGAATGAGTCTCTCTCGAACGAGAACGAAAATTGAGTAACCCGTCTTCCTCCCTCCTCCCGTCTCTCTGCCGTTGCGTCGCGTGACCGTTGACAGACCACCACCTCCTAGACATCTGTAACAACGGCCGAGACGAAACTTGGCGGAAATTTTAGGGTCCTTCAGGCCGATTCTCTCAGTCATGAACACAGCCCGTTGAAGGGGTTTGTACTTGTCAAGCGCTCGCTCGAGATGGCGCGCGCAGTAGATTCACACTTTCCTTCTTTGAAGTTCTCAACTGTCAGTTTCCTGGTGCGCGATGTACTACCGTAGTTTTAATGGTGTAGAAGCGGGGGCGTTTGGAGGAAGAGAACGCGTAGGTTTGGTACGTTGAGAGGGTTTTTCAGCGAAGGGACTCGAATAGGCTTTGTTTGAGGCGCGGAATTTTGTGGCTTCCCCTCGATGCACTCATTAGATGTTCTGCTGCTGCTGCTGCTGCTGCGGCTCGTTGCCAGTATTCTATCGGCAGTGCACCTCTATGGGGAGGCTCTAATTTTTGTTTTGGTTGGCGTTCTCCCGCGTACTTTGTTTTTTGGGGAAGGATGATTGGATAGGCCTCTTCTTGCGAGGCACACTGACCTTTGGCTGCTACTCTCCTGTGTAAATAATAAAAATACTTATTGTTGTTATGGATGGCTCGCCCAGATTTTGAAAGGACAACAGCAGGAGAAAAGACGAAATACTTGAATTTTTGTCAACGTGTGTGTCTGTCTTGCGTTATGGACACAACGTGAGTGGTCAAACGGTACAAGTTATCCCGCGCGCGCTAGCGAACCCTTTTGTTTTTTGTTGTTTTGTGGAGGACGTAGTAGTATGCCCCCCCCCCCGGATTGTTGTTTTTCCGCTCCTCTTATCTTGTTTAGGCAGGCTTTTGCGTCACAGGGGGTTCGATCCGGGCGGGGGGAACGCAGCAAAAGAATCGCGCGTGCAGCGGTGCCGCCAGTTGTTGCTTGCGTTTTGTGCGGAAAGCAAGAGAGAGAGAGAGCTACAAGTATATCTCGCGACATGCACTTCATGTCGTATATCTTGCTCCCTCGGCACTGATTGTTGATCTTAGCTTCCATTTTGTCCTTTCTCTTGTCGGAGGCTGTCGTACTCCGCGTCTGGTACAGTATGGTGGTGGTGTGCTTCAGCGACTGGTTGTTTGTGGTGTACGTGACAAAAGTCGGCGAGTTTTGGAGGTAAAGCATGCGGCCTCGGTTAGGCGCCGGAGTTCGCGTTTCCAGAGAGAGAGCTTTGGCCTCGCTTGGCGTTTTCGTTGCAGCACACGGACAAACCCGTGGGCCAAACATCATGCGCACAAGAGAAATGGATTGGAAAGCACACTGTGGGGGAGCCGTTTTGTGTAGAAGACCGCGACACTCGTATAGGCGATATTTATTCAGCAATCAGAATCGTTTTGTGGATCAAGTTGAGCGCCACCGGAGGTACGGCGGGAAAAAAGTGAACAGTTAATTGTGCAAAGAGAACGCGCTTTTGGCTTCTTGGCGCCACCGCGGGATATTATATACACAACATACGCTGCAAGCGATGGTGCCACAAAATACATAATATCTTGCTCATATCCTATGGTTCGTTCGTGGATCCTGACTGTCTTCGACACTGCTGTAGAGGTTAGCCTACAAGATAGGTGCACCCTTTTTTACGCATGCTGCATTGATGGGGGTAATTACGTAAGTAATTTCCAGTAAAGGTGGCTGGGAGATGTCAAGACCCGCGGCGGTGAATGACTGCTGTTGTACATGTTGCTGCCGTCTGTGGCTGCTTGCTGCCCTAAACAAAGATCTCGCGGTTGGTTGGCAGATTCTTGCGCGTAATGTCCCCCGGCATTTTCCAAGGAAAGGCTGATCTCAACAACCAAAATGATGTGAAGACGTAGTGAGATGCGTACCTACCTGGTAGTGGCTCCGTTAGCGGATCATCATTGCGTGGAGACACCGACCGCATGTGTCATGAGGATGGGCCCGAGGAAATTGATCAGCTTATCAGCTTTCGCATTGCCATGGTTTGCCGGGGATCCGCGAACGGAACTTCAGTAAAAAATGGGGGTCCCCCTGCACACGCGACAAATAAATAGCCCGCATGATCAGGGCATGCATGTCTCCACACACCCTAGTCGCGCACACAAGACACCTACTATATCTCTCTCTTTCTCTCCTCTCTCCCCCTCCGTCAAGAATGCCGAACACCTCTTTCTCCAACCATACCGCCCTCTCCGATGAGGTGCTCAACGAGTTCAGGAAGCTTCCTCAGGGCGGCAAGATCATGGCCGAGTACATCTGGATCGGCGGGTCCGGGCAGGACCTCCGCTGCAAGACCCGAACCTTCCCCGCTAAGGAGGGCGGCTACGCCGTGGCCGATCTGTGAGTGATTCCACGCTTAAAACATGGACTTCGGGGTGAGGACGACCCTGCGCGTGTTGGTTATCTGCTGCGCTATAGGTTTTATTTTATTTTTGCTCTCGCGTGACGTGCCCTCTCTCTCTATGGGGGTGATATATATTGTTCTAGCAGAGGACAAGGGAGTGAGGAAAAGGCGGCGGGGGCGGCGGGCGGCGTCGCATATATATGACGCATGTTTTCCGCTGTTTCCGCGGTCATCATTTCCACGAGTTCTCGTCATCTAGATACCAGGGTCTCCAGAGCCCGCGGAAGAGAGGCAGCACCACCCTCCCTCGCACCGCTTCTCCGGATCACATCCAACGAACCGGCTGCTCTTCACATCCAACGAACCGGCTGCTCTTAGCCCTGGCCCGATGACCTATACATATATATCTCGCCCTTTCGTCCTTTCGGAGACACCACATCCTATCCATACAAGCCTTTTGGGAACCCGCTACGCACATACATGCCAAGCGGCGGACCAGCGATGATAATAACAACTATTGTCCCTACCCCCTTAGTCTCCCGATGAAGCTTTGATCTGTCGAAGCGCGCGCTCCCCCCACGCGCACGGTTGTGGGTTAGTGACTCCCGTACCAACGCCAGGCGCGCATTTCCAGAAGGCGGTTCTGCGATGAATCAAACCTCTCTTCGTTGACGTACAGAACTTTGGGTATCTTGCCTTTTTTTTCTCTTTTGTTTTGTTTTTATTTCTTTTGCTGGTGATGAGGCAGGCGGGAGTGCACCAGAGTTTAGAGTGAAAACAGGGAGATTTTGGAGACGCGGGACTCAATAATATCGATGCCGCGCAGACTTCTCTCTCTGTGTGGTATGTGCATTTACGGTATCTACCTTTAGGGCGAAGGCTACCCTGCGACCATTGGCACTTGTTCGAAAGGTTGAGTCTCCTCGCACGGCACTCAATGACCCACGACTTGTACGCATATTTTTATATTGTTGCCCTATTTTCTTGCATCACGGTTGGCACGGAACGCTTACCTGGACAGAGCAGCATCCGCAGCAAATGTATGTATACCCTCAACCCACGACGATCAGCAACAACACCAGTTGATTTGTGGTGCCATTGCTGATGTCGGCTAAATAAACAAGACAACCTAATCGGTGCCAATCATCTTTGGTGCAACACATCGCCCGAGTGGAGAATTTTGCTTGCCCGCCACATCTTTCTGCTGGAAATAAAGAGGAATGAATCTCGAATCTCCACAACACCTACATTGTAACGTGCTGCTGTGTGATGAATCCGCTTTCATGGCAAAGGGGCAGGCTGCCATAACCGCCCCAAAAGGCGGGAAGACGGTGAAGCTTTAGTTTTGCTCTGAAGCTGCTGTAGGTGCATGCATAACCCTCGCGCTCTTCGTGTTCCACGTGGGTATTTCACCGGCCAGGGTATGCACATTTATTTATGGTTTCGTGCGTGTGGTTGGAGCCCGCTGGGGCTTTTCTGGCGCTGCTTACAACAGCAGTACTGCGGAGAGTTTCCTCTCGTCCGTACGCACGATGTACCATGTACTGCTGCTGTAGTAAAAAAATAATGGTTTGAGGTCCAAACGTCGTGTGCATTGGCGTTGGCGAGTGCTCACAGAGGCGCAGCAACCACCCGCCCCAAAGGTGTCACGAGAGTTATTTAATACTCGAAAAAATGCATGAAACCAGTGGAAGAGCCCGAAAAGTGGATGAATCGAGTTTTATATCGGAGGGGACTTTTGGGCCAATATGCATGAATCGTGATGAAAAATATGTTTGGGGCTCCAGAGCTTCAAGTATATATTTGTCGTCCGAGACGAACAGACTGCTCTCTCTATCTCCCTCTCTCCCTCTCCTCTCTCCTCGCTTTTGCAGCAAACATCACCGCCGTCACAACAGCAAAGACACAGCACACAGCCATAACAATGCCGCCACCACCGCCAGCCCCCAACCAAGCTTTCGGGCACTGCCCGGACGATTTTTTGTTGTGCTGCATGCGTATCAACGCGTACGTGAGGTTGCTGCATGTTGCTGCATGCTGCTGCACCCTCTCTTTTGCCCTCTGCCCTCCTCTCTCGTCGTGCTCCTTTTCTTTCTCGCTTTCTCTGGTGCCGCCATCGCACGCAAGCACAGACGAACTAACGAACAGACACAGTTCCGCAAGGCTCGCCGCGTAGCTTATAGGCTGCCCCGTTAATTTTTTGGGGGGGGAGGGCGGCCCTTCCTAGTCGGCATGGCGGGAGGCTGGAGGTTGTTGTTGTTGCCGTTGATGCACAGGGTGTGCGTATATGCCCTATGGTCTGCCTGTCTTTTCTAACCCCTCTCTCGTTTTCTCTTTGGCACAAAAGAAAGAGAAGAAGGACCAACGGTTTGTTATCATCAACGTGCCCGAGTGCCAACATACAGAGTATCAGCTAGCGTGGGTTGGGGGCGCTCTTGGCAGAGACGAACGCGCGTTGTCCGCTGTTCGTTCACTACGTTAGGGTGTGCATATTCGTATCACCTTGGAAAAGGCACTCTAATTTCGCATGCTGCTTGTTTCCGGTTGATCAAATTTGGCTGCACCACAACGGCAGCCCACCTGCCAAACACCAGCTGTCCGAGGATGTATTGGCGCAGGCCAACAGTCCTGTGTTTTTATCCTGTAAAGATCTATTCTCGAGTTTTTAATCACGAGAGCTTTTCACCAAAAATGTACAAAGCAGCGAAAGGCCCAAAAAAGTCCGGCCGGTCCATGAATCGAGTTTTAAATAACTCTACGTAGTAACGTACTTGTAGGCAAATAACCACTGTAACTCTCTCTCTGAGATGTGTGTGTGCGTGTGTGTGTTCGTCCGATCTACTCTGGCTTCGGTTTACAGACCTTCGGCGTATATACCTGGCTTATCAGCCCGGGGGTCACACAGGAGTTTTTTTTTGTTTTTTGTGTTGTTTGATTGCCGCACCTTTGTTTCCCCCTGCGGTGCTTGGCGTGGTTGTTATCGCGACAAGGGTTGAGCCATCGCTTTCCCTCGTCGACCGTGAAACCGAATGAAGTGTGCTTATGTGACGGAAAGAGAGTCTCTGAATTGGGATGGATCTCGTGACTTGAGCGGGTCTCTCTAGGCATAGGCTTGTGGCTATTCATGGCCACAAGTCCATGGTTTTTGTGTGTATAGGAAGGACGTCACGCTTTCCAGAATAATTACCAAAAGCTATCGACCTGATGGTAGCAGCCTCTCGATCAGTACCGAGTTCGAAGATGCGCGCTTGAACAGCGGTAGAGAGAGCCTAGAAGGAGGCTTGTGGAGCGTGGAGAAGGTCTCCAGTCGTGGATACGGTATGCACTTTGATTATTGCTGAGCACTGTGGAATGCCCAACAGGGAGACCCGCTCAGGTCACGAGATCCATCCCAATTCAGAGCCTCTCTTTCCGTCACATGGTGTCCAATCCGAGAATCGAACTCGGGTCGCAGGTGATCAGGCTAAGCTCAGCCTTATCAGGCATCCCTGATTTATTGCCTGACAGCCCCTTTTCAGATCGGGGTTGCCTGAGAGGGTGTTTGGTGCCTGAGATTCCCCGCAAGCAAACCGCCAAACACGTGTCAGGCATCATAAAATAAACGCCAACTCTCATAAGTAGTATGTAGGGGGCTGAGGGGGGCCCGTGAGACACAGAGGGGGGGAACAAATCAAGCACGGACCCCCTCCATATTAAAAAAAAAAAAATGCACGGCCTTGCGCGCTCGACGAATGATCTCGTAGTTTAGCAAGCGGTGTGTCGTGTGGTCGTGCATCAAGATGCTGCCAGCTAACGTTTCTTGCCCGTGCGTACATGAAAGGGATTGCGGGACAGTCGATGATCTGGCTGCTCGCATTTACCTGCGGTCATATTTTAAAAATCCTGGCCCCCTGCTCCTAGAGCTCGTTGACTGTTAGCGTTGTCTATTTAGCGCTTCTGCACACACCAAACAGATGGAAGTGGGGGAGGATAGTAATTATCGGTTTACCATGCCTTGCGTCGGCGGGGAATGCTTTGCTTGTTGTCGAACGTTGAATGTCCGAATCTTGTTTTGAACGTTTGTCTGGTTTCTTTGGCATCTGTACAATCTCCGCGAAGTAATGGTTTTCTCTGTTTCTTTCTGCTCCTCCAGCTTCTGTGTGCTCTCTGTACTTCGCCCCTCGCCCCTCGCCCGCTTCAAGCAACCTCTTGCTGATGTTGGTGGAGTACTGAGTCGAGACGCATGGGGTGAATGGGGGGAACCAACGTATGTATGTTGTTTGCAACATAGAACAATAATATATATTTTTCGTCAACTACGTGTCTGAATACTTCAGTGTAAGCCCTGAATGCCAACACTGCCGGTGCACGTTAGTTGCGCGCTACAGTTGCGTGGTGAGGGCGCCAAAACGACTAGAATGGGTTTCAGGCAAGTGTCAGGCAAGTTTTCAGGCAGGTTGCCTGATTCAAATCAGGCATTTCAGGCAAAAACCTGGTGTCAGGCAAATGCCTGAAATTTTGCCTGACCCCAAAATATTTCGCCTGCGGCGGGCTCTTTTGCACATGCCTGAAGCGCGCCTTCGGCGTGCCTGATAAGGCTAAGCTTAGATCAGGCCCTCCACTTGCCCGTCCAAATACCCAAAAAACAATTATTAATTAACAACACCTATTTTTGTCTCCCCAAACCAAAAAACAATTAATTAATTAAATAAACACACCCCATATAAATATTTTTTACTTCTTCAACCGCAAATGAAATAATCTCAGGCCCAAGTGGAACTACGACGGCTCCTCCACCGGCCAGGCGCCCGGAGAGGACTCCGAGGTAATCATCTACCCCCAGGCCGTCTACCCCGACCCCTTCCGCGGGGGCGACAACATCATGGTGCTGTGCGACACCTACGAGCCCGACGGGACCCCGCTCCCTACCAACACCCGCAAGGAGTGCGCCGCTATCATGGAGAAGGTGAGCTTTGCGACAACTTTTCGCTTGGTGAATTTAATTTTAAGCCAGTAGATGGAATGTACCCTAGCCACATTCCTTGGACGAATGGTACCTGGTATGCCGTAAATGTCGGAGAGGTGGTACCCCCGTGTTGAAAAAGTAACGTTTTCTTTTGTGGCGTGTTTCTCCACACCCATGGAGGTACCACTGCCGAAAAGGGTAGTTTTTGATGCATCTCGTGGAGGACTTTCCTGAGAGGTATCGGTTGGTGTTCGCACCACCGTCCTAGTTGTGGAGAAATAAGCTATTTACATGAAGAAAACGCTAACACGGGGTTGCCATCTCTCCGACTCTTGCAGTATGTATCCCCTCTACTATATAGGGCGATGTGTGTTCACTATGGCAACGCATGATTATTTAAGTACTTCATTCGACGCCACCTCCCGGCGAAAACCACAAAAGCCCAGTTTCCAGTCGGTTTCAATCCACTTACTACTGAATAGACTTCAACACATCCCTTTCGACTGAGGGTACATCTCAAACGGGTAGTCTCTCTGTGAGGTTATGTTTACTTTCTAACAACACGACAGCAGTAGTCTCCGGTTTGGGGTACCCTGACCCTTAACCCTAAGCTCTCTTTAAAGGAGTCAACACATCCTCTCCCGCCTTTTCAACAAGCTCTCGCCGCAACCACCACTTGAATTTCGCAGGCGAAGGAGCTGGTGCCGTGGTTCGGTATCGAGCAGGAGTACACCCTGTTCGAGGCAGACGGCGTCACCCCCTTCGGGTGGCCCAAGAGCGGATACCCGGGACCCCAGGGCCCGTACTACTGCTCCATCGGGTACGAGAACGCTTTCGGCCGCCACATCATGGAGGCGCACTACAAGGCCTGCCTCTTCGCCGGCGTAAACATCTCGGGAACCAACGGGGAGGTTATGCCCGGACAGTGGGAGTACCAGGTGACCCCCCCCCCCCCCCACCCTGGTAC